TCATTCAGTTCAGTTTTGTTTACAAGATACAGTGTATAATGTCATTGTGACCTTGACCTAAGATCTCTAATAAAGAATAGCTCAACATATACAGCAAGCATAGATTACAAATTAAAAAAACTATAGGTGAATATAGTAGAATATAATATACATGTAGCTCACTACTGTAACACCTCCCTCCTTAAAAGAAAAGTTTTGAATGCAATGAAAAACTTTTACAATAATATCTTGAGTAGCGAGCGTTACAATTTTTAAAAGTGAGGTTGAGACTAACATAATATTTGTTTACAATAGTCTTTTTATATGCAGTATGTTTACAAGTATATAATACTTTCTATCGTTACAGTGTGAGTACAATCTAATAACATATAATGTTCTGTAATAATGTGTTACAATAGTATCATACTACAATAGTATCAAACTAAGTTATGCATCAAGTCATAAATACAATACATGCAATAGATCATATAACTTGTACAATAGTATACTTTTTTTTGAGTCTGACAAACACTAAACTTGTACAATGTTTTACATTATCACATGATCTTATGTAACTATTTCTACTAGTACAATCTGATGTTATTTAGTAATCTTGTGACATTATTTAATGATCACCTTTAATGCTCACATAATCTAGATACAATCTTATAGTTCATATAATATCACTTTCACTGTTTAGGGAAATGTTTTTTATATATTGTTAAAATAAAGTGACAGTTATCACAAATCTCTAATTTGCGTACCATATAATATAATCTTCATGAGTTTATCATTATAATTTACAATATCTGAATCTTGAATAACATATAGTTGTCATTTACATACAAGTTTGGCGTATGATTTAAGAGCGCAAGCTCATGTTGAGTAAATAAATTTTATCACGCTCAACATACTTTTTCATCATATGTAACTCTCTACACCTCACAGGAGTAGTTTTATCAATGCAAATGAAATCATTCAGCACTGAGTCTGATTGTAAGTCAGATATGAGCTCCTTTGGTAACTCCACTAATGTGAAATTGTTGATTTGTGATTTCACAATATATTTGGTTTTGCTATTTCTAAGCATAAGGTGTGGTTTTATTTCTAGAAACTGTGTGGTCATAGAAATAATAGTGAGCAGATATTGATTATTAGATTTTGTTTTTGGTAATGGACCAACACAGTCAATAAGAACCTTACTAAATGGTTCATCAAATGCAGGTATAAGTTGTAAAGGAGCAATTGAGATTTTCTGGTTAGGTTTCCCTACCATTTGACATGTATGACAAGACCTACAATACTCTTGGACATCTTGTTTTAATTTGGGCCAAAAGAAATGATTGAGTATTTTATTGTATGTTTTAGTTACTCCTAAATGACCTGCCGTGGGAGAATCATGAGCTAGACTCAAGATTTCCTTATGATATGATTTTGGGACAACAATTTGATGTACAATTGCCCAATCATCTTCAGGGGAAGCTTCAGGGGAAGCTTCAGGGGGTCTCCACTTTCGCATTAATATGCCATCCTTTTTGTAGAAACAAACAGGGACCTTGTCAGCTTCATCAATAGTAAGACATCTTTTATGAAGATCAATGAGTGATGGATCATGCTCTTGTTCATAAATTAACATGTGTTTAGAATGAGGATCTTTTTTCAAAGAATCACTATCAGAAATAGAGGATGAAACCTCAGAACTAGAAGAGGATGAAACCTCAGAACAAGGAGGTGATGAAACCTCATGAACACTAGCAGAAGAAGATGAAACTTCATCAGGACTAGCAAGAGCGGGCGAAACCGCATTAAAATAGTGATCCTGCTCAGAAGGTGAATCACCTCTGGCAATAGGCTTTTTCAATGAAGAATATGCCTCAATAGATGACTGCTTGGCTCGAACAGAAGGCTGTTTCAATGAAGAATTTGCCTTTAAAATAGGATAAGGACCATCTTTAACAAGTGGTGAGTGACATTCATCATCAAACAAGGAGCTTAAAAACCCACTATCAAAGTCATCTCCCACAGACGAATCCCCGCTATTAGCTAACTTTTTAGCCATAGCCCTAGTAACAGCACAAGCAGGATATATATCAGAGTCCTCTTGGACAGAATCCTCAATAGAACAAGGCTGATCAGAAACAATGGGGTCTAATGATACCTTACCCCCAGCTAAATCATTGCCTAAAAGCAATGCGACTCCTTCAACAGGAAGTTGTGGCCTAACACCAACAATAACTGGCCCTTTGACTAACTCTGATGTGATATGAATACGATGGAGGGGAACTTTAGTAAATCCTAATTCAATGCCTTGCATCAAAATATGGGTACCTGTGAATGACTCCTCAGATAAAGGAAGGACACCTTCTAACAACAAGGTCTGAGATGCACCCGTGTCTCTAAGAATCTTAATTGGCTTTGAATTGGTACCATCACTTGACAGTGACACAGATCCTTCCGACATGAAAGGCTTATAATCCTCCATAATATCACTATGAGTAGATTTCTCAGTATGAGTATATGAATCCCAAACAATGGGCTTTCTTGAAATGGGAACTGTAGCACAACCATTTGAATGAGCAGAACCAGACATCTCTCTTCTATTCTTAATCCTATAGCATTCAGAAATAAGATGACCAGGCTTTTTACAATAATTACAGGTGACATTTGATTTTGGACCTGAAGAATTTGATTGATCTGATTTTGAGCTAGAACTCTGTGATGAAAAAGACTGGTCTTTTGCTTTGTTTGATGTATTTGATGATGAGGACTGATTTGATTTCGAATCATATGAAGGTTTGTTACCCTGATAACCTCTATAGTTAGGATTGCCCTTGATAAAACTACCCTTATGAGTAAGAGCATAATCATCAGACAGGGTGGCAGCTTGACTTAAAGTTTCTACCCTGTGTTCATCTAAGTAAGTTCTAATGTGATACTGAACACAGTTTTTAAATTGTTCTATAAGCATTAGCTCTCTGAGCTTCTTAAACTCTTCAGATACATCTTTAGAGACAAGCCACCTGTCAAAAAGCTGCTCTTGCTCTCGAGCAAACTCAACATGGGTTTGGTCACTCTGTTTGTGGGCATTTCTAAATTTTTGTCTGTAAGCTTCTGGTACTAGTTCATAAGCTTTAAGAATTGCATTTTTAACTAGGTCATAATCAGAGCATACTTCTCCTGAGAGAGAGGCAAATATTTCACTTGCTTTACCAATGAATACACTCTGGAGCATAACTGGCCATGCAGATTTAGGCCAGTCTAGGCTCTGAGCAACCTTTTCAAAATGTGTAAAGTATTTATCAACATTTTTCTCTTGAAATTTAGGAACAAATTTGAGAAATTTTGAAGCGTCAAACCTATTTTCAAAATGTTGATGCATAGTAGCATGTTCCTCAGTTTTGGATTGAGCTTCTATCTCAAGACGTTTTAATTCAACTTCTTTTTCTTTTTGAATTTCTTGTTCTCTTAATCTTGTTTCTTGTTCTCTTAATCTTATTTCCTTTTCATTTTGCAATTCTAATTCTTTTTCTCTCATTTCATTTTGTAATTTGAGTTCAAGCTCTCTCATTTGTAATTGCTGTTGAAATTCAGTAGGATCAACATGCTGGGTTGGCTCTACAGTAAGCTTTAAAGCTTCTTCTGGTAATATTTCTTCCGCTACCAAATATGGCACCAGAATATTTTTTATTGCACCTTTTCGGTATGAAGTTTTTACTGCCAAACCAACATGTTTTGCTAGTGCCAGAAGTTCAGTTTTCTTTAAACTGTCAAATTCCTCCAAAGAGGGCGATTCTAAAAATGTCTCAACCTCAAAACTCATTTTCAATTAATTGCTGTCTTCACACAATTTCAAATGTGAATTTCGAATTTTGAAATATTTGTATTTTAGCTTGTTGTAGTTGTATCCCGGACAAGCCCCCAATTTCTGTTACGTACGAAAATAACAGAAAGTAAAAACAGCAATTAAAATATGATAACAATATATTTATATTTTGAAAACTAAATAATATAACAATGATATAAAGGAGGTTTAATACTTAAGTGATGTCCAATCAATGATACAGCTTATTCTTGATGTCGATAAATATCCTTGACGATCCTTGAGAATGTTCCAGATCACGAAAGTTTCAATAATCGTTAATAGTTCTCCAATGTTTGTAATAATCCAATAATGTTCGTCGTAATCCTATAATGTTCGTATACAATAATGTTTGATGATAATCCACAAATGTTTATGATAATCCACGAATGTATATGATAATCCGTATATAGTGTGTGTTGTAATATATGTCCATATAAAGTCCTCAGGTTGTGTGTTTGTAGTGTTATAAATGTTCCCACAGTATGTGTCTGTTATTTTCTGTTAAGAAGATGTCCTTTGATCAACTTTGAAATTCTGCTCTATTTAGTTCCTTTGAGATGTCCAGTTATGATGGTTTAATTATCTGCTAATGAGAGTCACTGTGCTGTTCTTTTTATAATGTGAAAGAATGATCCAGAAACGAATCTTCTGGAACTACATCTTGATTGGACATCTTTAGTGACATGATTCAATCTGATTAAATGTTTACTAGTTTCCGAATATTCTAGAAGGTCAAGAGTTAATGAGTCATTCAGTTCAGTTTTGTTTACAAGATACAGTGTATAATGTCATTGTGACCTTGACCTAAGATCTCTAATAAAGAATAGCTCAACATATACAGCAAGCATAGATTACAAATTAAAAAAACTATAGGTGAATATAGTAGAATATAATATACATGTAGCTCACTACTGTAACACTATCTACATTTCCAAATCTCAAACACAAGTTTTTGCTTTTTGAGAAAGCATTACATTTTGTTTTGAAATATGTAAATTGTAAAGAGCAAGACATTAAATTAACTATTTCAAGAAAACTTCAAGCAAGGCATGGCATTTGAAAACCTGTGACAAGAACCTAAAATAATTTTCCATGGACTTACAACCACACAAATGATAAATAATTAACTAAAATACACATATTATATGCAAACCCTCACCTCTAGAATTCTGAGCATGTTATTTTTGTATTTTCCGATGACTTCCTTTACTTGTGCCGTCATATCTTCGGGGCGTACAACTATTCTCTCAATCACCTCAGGAGGAAGTTCAGGGAATGCATATTCCTGTAAGTGCAAAGTCAAATTTAATACTGGGTCATTTAATATCAAAACAGTTGGAACAAGCAATTTTGGTGAAAACAATTGAAGAAAATCACCTTTGCCTGCTGGTACTGAAACCCCTGTATATATAGAGATTATCCTATACGAGGTTCAGGATATTGGGATTATCCCGAGGCCAATATAATATATCTGCCCGAGGGCCGTAGGCCCCGAGGGTAGATGTAATATATTGGCCAAGGGATAATCCCAATATCCTGAACCGACTATAGGATGATCTGTTTATCCCATACTTATCACATTGTTCAATTGGCCAAAGTTCGGAAACTTTGCCATCCGTGGAATTATTTAGACCATTATACATTATGTTATACAGTAGTATGTTTATTATATTTAGTATATTCAAATATGTGTATTAATGTTTTTAAATTGTTATTTTTGGCACTTGTAAATAATGAATTAACAAATATTTTAAAATATAAATGTATATAAAAATGAAAAAATCAGTTCGTCTTGTTATAGGATTCTTTGTAATGGGGATTGATTTGGAAAAAGTACCTTTAAATGGGGCTTTTCAGATTCTAGATTTCTGACAAAAATTGCTCACATACTTATTTCAGTCAAATAACTATATATTTCCAGATCTCAATGAAATTTAGTCCCCAGAAGAAATGGAGGTTTCGTCAAATGTAAGTCATGTCTTAACTCAAACACTCTGAGACATTCAGTTATGTTGATTCAGTTTCATATTTCCCACTCTACCTGAGATTTGGTCATTAAGAACTCAAGACCATTTTAAATATCTGCAGAGAAAAAGGAAAACATTGAATGAACTAATACAGAGATTAAGTCAAAATCCTTACATTTTGTTCGGGAGTTTCTTCTTCTTCCTCTTCTTCTTCTTCCTCCTCTTCGCCTTCTCCCTCATCAAGTTGAGCTTCAGGTCTATCAGGGTCATACATTTCACGTATATAGATGTCACCAGTAAGAGCATCAGCACGTTGGCCTACACGTCTATACTCCAAGTCTAAATCTGGTATCTATAAATATTTTTAAAACGGTATTAACCATTAAGTGTCTGAGTGCAATGTCAAACTGGTATCTATAAATATTTTTGAAGATGATATTAACTTAATCAGAGAGTGTAATGTAATGTAATGTAATGTAATGTTATGTAATGTAATACCAGCAAGTGTCTGAGTGTACTGTCAAACTGGTATCTCTAAAGGCAGAATCAGATATAGCAAGCCTCATTTCAATAAACCAAGACATCAACATGCAAGACGTCACCACTGAATGTCAAACACCAACTGCCAAATGTGGAACACTGTCCACAAAACAGTTGGAAACCATATTTTACTTGTGGTGGTGACATAAAAATTCAATTTTAGAATAATTATGACAAACAGCATTCCTGTCTCTGATTCTGACTTCAGTTTGAATTTAGTTCTGACTTTATTATCCTAATGTGATAGAAATATAGTAACAATTATGAAATGGATCAGGCACTTACTTTTAAATTTACAATAAAATCTGGTTTAAGTTTCCAATTTTTCACCAGTTCAAGTTGGTCTTTTATTGTCATATAATCTTCTGACATGGATGGGAAATCATCTAGGATATAGCCTGAAATATAAAAGAACAGAATTCCATGGTTTGTTTCTTATACAATTTTAGATAGTAGTATATGTTAAAATATTTTGTATTTTAGAGAGATACCAACACATTGATAACCAGCAGTTGATAAAACTACAGTGTATATCAAGATATTGAATTTATTCCATGATTGTTTAGATTTAATGTATTTACTATCTAATCTCTACGTACTTAGCACTATTACCCATAATGCCATGGAATAAACAAGTAAACACTGTTGTCGCTGTTGCAGTTCTTTATTTATCTGAGATTTAACATAGAGGCTTACCATGATGAGTTACTTCAGGGGAGTTAATCTTATCCTCTATCATTTTGGCAACCATTTCCTCGGGAAGTGCTTCTCCTTTTATTAAAATATCCTGGGCCTTTTTGCCCATTTCAGTCTGAAGTTCTAGATTTGCGTGAATAACAGTAGCAGCTGAAACAATCTGGCATTTCCATTCTTGAGCTAGTTTACGAGTTAGTGTTGTTTTTCCACTCCCGGGTTTGCCAATGACAATAAAACACGTGGGCTTGGAATGGATGAATCTTAGTTCAGCCTGAAATGTGGAATCAATGAAAGAATTTAGGAACAGAATAATATGAGAAAGTCCTGACTTTAGAATAAATTATATCAAAGAACATAAAACAGACAAAATGGTGCCATTCTCATAAATCAAAAGAGAATCATATTGTTTTCTACTAAGAATTGTGATAATAATTTTGAGAATTGATTTTCAGATAAAACGGACAACTAATTATTTTTAATTAGTTTATCAAGTGATTTAATTATCTTAATGAACAAACTAATTAATCCAAGGTCATTTGAGAGGGGACACAAACAATAAAATACCTGGTCCTCATCATAGGGATCCATGTCAAGGTTCTTCATGGCATCGTCAAGTGCTGTGTTTGACTGAGTACAATCTGTGATGCTCACTGCATGTTCAAGTTCACCTGTGTCAGGTGGTTTCAAATTTGCCATGTTCTACAAAAACATTCAATTTCAGCTTTACTTTATAATACGAAGTATTATATATAAGTTGTTGCAGACATTTTTAAATAAAGATAATATAAACTTCAAAAATATGTATCTACTATTAACCTACGTGTAACTTTTCAAATCATAGTAAAGTATCTCGTATAAAAATTACAATGTAAAGAGATATAAAATGGCAAATGCACCATACTTAAAATACTAATGTTCATGGGTCAAAATTGTCCGACAAACTGATCCACAAAATCATTTTATTGTTCAAGTTTAGGGGAAGTTTTCCTTTGTCTGACCTGAACTAACCACCTGGTGGTGAAATTGGATCCATGTGTTTGTCTCAGAGCTCAATAAATATGTTCAAGGAATGGACATAAAATCTTCAGAATCTTTTTTACTTCCTTGATTCTGGAGTCAGTTTTCTAATAATTCAAACATGATCATTCTCTAATTTGGTTTCTTAACCAATTAGAATGCAGCATAGCCATGCTCTAATTCACTGTGGGTCTATTCAATCATCTGTTATACCTCAAATGGTACATATTGTCGTTAGCTTTATCTCTTATAACTTACTTAAACCATACATATAAGCATCTGTTGATAAAAGCACAAAATAGCAGAGCAGATAGAATGATAATGTTTAGTTTTTGGCAATATCCTGTGATTGTAATGTCTATTACGGATATCATACACGTCTATAATGAGAATGTGACAACACACCAGAGATTACCAGGAAATACCATGACATTTCTTGAAATCCTGTAGAAACAATAACCACACTTTATTAAGGTTATGTGATCATTTGAGTTCATTTGGCTGTTTGTTGTGATGTGACATAATACTGGCATAATCCAGCTATGTTCTTTATACCCAGAAAATTTGAAATAGTAGGGGAAATGGTCCTACCATCACACAGGTACTCTGGAAAGCTACTGACAGTTTCAACTTACTTTGAGGATATGAAACAAAAGATCAACCTTTCTTCTAAAATTTAAATCGTGTTTGACATTTCTCAATCTCCGAACGTTAACACTTGAAGACCCCTTAGACTCGCATGTACGGTGGTCCTAATTATTGCACAGTCATTCTAATCATCGCACAGTTGTGTTTTAAGTGTTATTTTATGATAATGTATACATTTCACAGATTAACTAATACATGTATGCATATGTTATAATCATTTTTCTATCAGTTTTAATGTAAAATAGCAACAAAATCTCCATAATTCACTTTCAAGACCCCTTAGACTAGCATGTGTGGTGGTCCTAATTATAGCACTGTTGTGTTTTGAGTGTTATGATACATTTCACTGTTTATAATATTGTATATGCTATAATCATTTTTCTATCAGTTTTAGTGTAAACTATCAACAAAATCTCCATAATTCACCTACTTTCCTGTCTTTATTTGGAGGGGGTCAAACTTTGTCAGGCGAATTTCACTTCTTGTGCAATTGCATTATGACAATAGCGGAAGTAAATAATTAAAAAAATGAAGAGATTAATTTCTAAATATACGAATAAATCATGAAGATTAGGAGTAATGGTGTTGAGCTGGTGTTTAACACTGGTTGAAAAGATGTACAGTGCATATTTTAGCTATCTATGACAATACGATAATAAGGACCGTGCGATAATTAGGACCGTTTCCCCTAGATAAATGTCCTAGGAAAACTCTATTCAGTGTCAATAACTGACATCAGGTAACTGTTCACTCTCTGCTTGAGAGATGGTAAAGGTCAGTACAAGGGTCATATTTTAGGGTGGTAATTTTTGGATGTACTTTTTGTTTTTGTCCGATCAATATCTATTGACTGGATATGGCTCGGGATCTGTACACCAGTTATATGGAAACTTTGTTGAATCCTAACATGTATGTATATCTTGGCCCATATTTGGTCTTATCCGGATAGACTAGGCTCTATTGTAAATCAAATTATTCTCGTCTAGTAGCCTAGGCCTTCTAGAAAAAAATTAATTTTTAAATAAATTAAATTTTATATTTGAAACTTAAAACAACCTATTGGTTCAACAACATTTCCTAAAATATGCTATCAATAAGAAGTAAATCAAGTATTTATGAAGTTGGATGAAATTAAATGTGAATCTATATACTCTAACCAGATTTGTTTGCACTTTCGTTGAGAAAAATTTGCTTACTTTTTCTACTTCCATGTCCGCCATCTTTGTTTGGTCTCCCCTAGAAATGCGCATGCGCATTCAGCAATTTTAAGTTCGTGTGTTTTCGATTTCCAATAATAAGAACTAATTTGGGGAATATAGATATAATAAAACATACGATTACTATCTTCAATAATTAAAAGTTAGCTTTTGTGGTATCAAAATTGGCATATGATATTCAAAAAAGTAAATAGTGACTTCGGAAATCTACGCTGTAATCCGGAAGTAACAACACGGAAGTACAGAAAATGGCAGAAAAATTCTTGTTTGTAAATATGTGGTGTATTAGACTATTTTATGTATTATTTATTGTTTCAACAGAAATTATTACCATTGCACATGGACATTTTGATAAAGAAGAACAAACTCTGACATTATTAATTTCATTTGATGGATTTAGATATGATTATTTATCAAAAGTTAGTAAGGAGGGAAACTTCAAAAAGTTACAAGAAAAAGGAACCACTGTCAAAGATGGTGTATTTAACTCATTTATCACAAAAACCCTTCCAAATCATTTGACAATTGTGACAGGATTGCATGAAGAAACCCATGGCATGGTCGCAAACAGTTATTATGATCCAAATTTAAAAGAAAAGTTTGATATCCAGGATCCTAAGGGACAATCAGATCGCGATTTTTGGGACACTGTTGGGGCAGAACCAATATGGACTGGGAATCAGAAACAAAATGATTCCTCTGAAATGACAAGACGGAGTGGAGTTTATATGTGGCCAGGTGGATTAGTGGCCTTTGAAAACATTTTACCATTTCATAGAGTAGAATACAACTTTAGCATTCCATTACGTGATCGTATTGACACTGTTTTAGATTGGTTCTTAAGTGACAATTATCCAATTAACTTCTGCGCATTATATTATCCAGAACCAGACTCTACTGGACATCACAGTGGTCCAGAATCAGAGAATATTAGAAAAATGCTCAAATATTTAGATGACGGGTTAGGTTATCTGCTCCAACAACTAGAAAAACACAAGTTATTACATAGAATGAATATCATCCTGACAAGTGACCATGGAATGGCACCTGCTTCAAATGATTCCATTATTGCCCTTAGTGACTATGTCGATACAGAATTAATAGACATATACACAAGTGCTTCTCCAGTTCCACATATATGGCCCAAACAAGGTATACTATATGACTCTATGACATCATTATATTGTTCATTTTGCTAAGTTTCATTTTAAGAATGACTTTGTATGAGATGAACATTTTGGTTTTAAACATAGGCCTATAACAAGAATTAATTTATATATGCCTACATGTCGAGCATTAAATCTGGATTGCTTCACTTCAAGTCTTTGATTGAAATAATAATCTATCACTGAACACATTTGTCTCTCATATGATAAAATATTTTTGTTTGACTATTTGGTTAATTTACCCTCGTCTGTCTGCCAGAAGAATTGAAAAATAATGTTTGTTACTCAGGTTTGTTATCAGGTTATATTATCATATTGGACTGTTAAGCATGAGTTACTGCTGTTCCATGATTTTTAAACTTGCTCAAATATCACTTTTAATGAAGAATGAGTGTTAAGTTTTCAACAAATGAAATGCCATGATTGTACATAGATTACTGTAAATTGCTTTAATTTCACATTTGCTTTAATTTGGTAGATTGAATAGAACCACCAAATTAAGTCTCCACCAACTTTTGTAAAGAATCCTTGGAGAATTCTTTCAATATTTTGATCATAACCCCATTTTTACATTTTAGCTCATATATGAAAATAAAACCTCCTTGTGTCACTCAAGAGTAACCTGGCCATGTGATGTCCTAGGTAGCCTTTCAATATCCATATTTCACTGATGAGAATCAATCCACCATATTAAATAGCAACCAAAATTCCCAAATTTGTCCAATCCACCAAATTAAAGCAATTTACAGATGATGATATTTCACTGATGAGTCAATCCGCCATATTAAATAGCAACCAAAATTCCCAAATTTGCCCAATCTGCCAAATTAAAGCAATTAACAGTTTTAAATAACTCATAGTAGTATCAATATTTATTTCAGGACAGTTAGAAACAGTATACAATGCCCTGAAAGATAAGCACCCTCATATGAAGGTGTTTAAGAAAGATGAAATCCCAACTGAGTATCACTATAGTAACAATCCTAGAATTCCACCAATCCTGATTCAGATGGATCTTGGCTGGAATATTGTGTTCAATGAAACAGACAAAAAACAGTGGACAAATTGTAAGTTTTTTTTAAGATTATGTACATCTCGTACAGATTGAGGCAAAATATGTGATCTCTCTAAATCTCAAATTTATACAGTCTATTTATAAGTCTATCATTTATGCAATCACTGTCATGAGATTGAAAAGGGTAGATTGTAAATGAAGTCATCAAAGAACGAAGAATGTAGATATTTTAATGATAATAGTGTTGAGGATGATATGCACTTTTTTACACAAAGTAGATTATATGACAATAAAAGAAAAAAGCGTTATCTATACAAACATCCTGTCCATTCAAAACTCAAGTATAAGCAGATAAGTAGACCAATTTTATGTGCTAGATAAATGTAATGTTTTATTTCAGTGGGTAACCATGGTTACAACAACAGTCTGGCAGAGATGCATCCTCTCTTCATCGCTAGTGGACCAGCATTTAAGGAGAACTACATTGCACCCCAAATTAGAAACATAGACATTTACCCCCTCTTATGCCATATACTACAGATCAAACCAAGAAATAACAATGGTACTATGGATCGTGTTGAAAATATGCTAAGAATACCAGCACAATTCCAGTTTTCTCTAACTGCAATAACATGTAAGTAACTATATGATCTATTGTAACACAGGGGGATATGCTGATTACTCAATTAGTACAAAATTAGTGCTAAATTAGCACTCTGGCAAAAATGCACTCATGAGCACTCATATCTTGAGTACTAATTTAGTACTAATTCATGATACGAGAACTCATTTAGTGCTGAAAAATCAATTTTTTTATTATTACTATTGTATCACTCATGATATGAGTACTCATTTAGCGCTAAAAATCAATGAAATTATTGCTATTTTATCACTCATCATATGAGGACTCATTTAGTACTAAAACATGCAATAAATCAGTACTCATGTCATAAGTGCTCATTTAGTACTAATATTTACTGAAATGAGTACTCAGTTAGCATTAAAATGCCATTAGTACTCGGCATATCTCCCTGTGTACAGTTGATGCATCATTTAATTTATTAAAAGTTTTTGAATAATTTAGAAATAAAAAATGCTTTAAATGAAAAGTTTATCTTAAACATTTAACAATTAGTTAATAAAAATGATTTTTGTAGTCCTAACTCAGGCAGAACTGCTAACAGAATTGGGAGTTTGCTTTTGTAATATTTTCATTATTTTTTAACAAAATACCACTTTATATTTCAGTTATTTTAGCCATATCTTTGTCAGGCTGCGTAGCGGTTTTATTCTGTATAGCTGTGTGGAGATTGAAAAGCATGAATGTCTCTGGGCAATGGATGTTGAGACATCATGTACGCTTAGATGAATTAAACCAGAGGAGCCCTCAACAGATGGCCAGATTATTAGAGGACTCGGAGGAAGAAAATTTCCCATGATTGTGTTGTTATGGTAACAACAAACAACAAATTAAATGATTCAGGTACTATATGATATAGCCAAGGTGCCAGTAGATCAATTTTCATATAACATTTTATTTCTTGTGATCTTGTGATTTTTTTTAACATGGTCTCTATGGGGAATAATTTTAATTTATGTTTCTAGATGTAATTTTATTTATAGATTTCAAATATTAAATCTCTTTGACCAGATTTTGAATATTTTATGATGTAAATCAAGTTTATTTTGACTTGCATCTAGTCTAATCTCAAGGCTGCTCTGAACAAAGTGCCATTCTAAAGTCAATTTCATGTGGATAATACAAGTACTTAATTGTACTAAGATAATGTTTGAACTTTTAGTGTATATATTTTATTTTAAAATTACTATGACATCATATTTGACCCTCCATGTTAGAGAGTAGGGGAGTAGATTAAGGAGAGGCTTATTATCTCCATAACCAAGCAACAGAAATTTTAAAATAGAAACCATAGATCAGCCCTTCATTTTATGTCACTTACAGACATGTTTGACATTCGCCGTTCAGCATCTGTAACAAATGGCAGGTTGTGACATTATGCATATTAATGCCTTGTTAATTTATTGCTCCTTTTAGTTTAAGTATGTTTTTGTTTAATATTTTGCTTATTATGTACCAAATAGCCTTGCCCAAGTCGGTCTCTTTTACTTATCTTGATTTCTATTCAATATCAGATAAGTAAACGACTTGGGCAAGGCTATGTACCGAAGTGCAACGGATCTATCAGAATTGTGTATTTATATGACAGTATGGACAGTATGTAGTAAAAAACTTGTTTTTCAAAAGTGTGGTATCACATATTTATATATTCTAAAGCTGAATGATTATCAAATCATTGCTCCTACGCTATAGCATCTTGTCACCTCTTGCCATTAAACAAATAGCTAAATTGAACATTCATTGCCAGACCATTTCTCTGCTTAAGAAATTATTAGGTGTATGCCAATTTTAACAGATCATTGTATGTAATTGTACATGCATATATTTTGAAGTTTATTAGATAATTCATTTTTATGTACAAATAGTCATGTTACAAAAGTACATGTTACACGAGAGGTTTAAATTGCTTTCGATTAATTGTAACACAGCAGGGTTAAATTGCTAAAAAGGTTTTGTGCCTGTGATACACCTCAAAAATCATTTACTGTATTTGTCTTTTATTTGACAAATGTTTTAATTTGGCAAATCAAAAAAGAACGCAAAACTAAATAGTCATTCAAAATCCCTGGGAATCCGACTTGTTTCTAGTCGATGAACTTCTGGTTAAAAGATGGCTTGGGCAATTTAAATTGTTTAATTTAGAGCATTTTAATATTTCATCAACAACAATTAAACTTGATTAGCAGGAGGGTATATGATAGTCTGATATAGATATGAGATTTATCCCCTTGAAAAACTGCCAAATTAAAAAGATTCAAAAATGTCTGATCTCCCAGAAACACCAAATTAAGTAGTGCCAAATTAAAGATGAATACAGTATTGATAAGATGTTTTGTCAACATGCTTTGTATTAGGAAGCAATTCAACCTGTTGTGTCTCTAACCATTTATGGATACAGTGATACTAAAGATATCATCATGAAAACACCTCCTGTAACCCATATATACAATGTGGTATAGCAGTCCAATCAAGCTACCACCACATGTGGCTATACACTGTATCAACTCTGCTTGGGGTATAAACTACTTGTCATATCTACTTTGGTTAGATACCAAAAAGCATGAGAAGCCAGCACTGTTGGAACCACCAATAATGGGATATCCATATTTAAGTTTTTATATGTAGTATATCAATCATTAAAGTACATGAAGTAGGTTTTGGTATAATGAAGCAATCCTAAATTAAACACATGAAGGCCTATACTTGCAAAGAATAGAGTTTTACATTCCAAATTCCATTTCTGTTTGCTGTAATAAACACCTGACTAAATATATTTTATATATATTGTATTGTAGATATTGTACATGTATTTAGATATTGTTATTGTATATGTATTGGGTCAGGGTTATTGTTTATGTGTTGGCTTAGAGTTATTGTACATGTATTGGGCTAGGTTTATTGTAAATGTATTGGGTTAGGGTTATTGTTGTATATGTATTGGCTTAGTTATTCTGCGTGTAATATGGGCTATTATTAAGGTCCTTAGCCTTTGAAGGGTTGATTCCATTCATACCTGGTGATGGTTCATTCCTTTGAGGTGCTGTTTCATACTTAATTCTGTACTTTCAATTGGCCTGCAAGTGGTTGGCCTTGAGATGAACAAAATGGATTATTTGTAGAATTTAGTGTAGATTGCAGATCCCCTAAGAAGTATCAATTGATTAGGTTAAGGGAATTCTGGGACTTCACCTTTCTTTTAAGTTGTTTGTTGTGCTTGTTATTTATGGTTGTACTTATGTTTTATAAAAAATATAATGTCAAACATAAGGCTTCTTCTGATGTGAAGCTATTAACATTTTATTATAGAAATATTGGGATATTGTTTTACTATTTATCATTTTTTATCATTGACTGTAAATTACTATGCTTGGGTTTTTCAAATGGAATCTAGAGTGTGTGTTGTAATTGTCCAGAAAGCTCAATTGTTTACAATTTACATTGTCTCAAATGAAAATATGCTTGTTGAAACAATGCTTGTTGAGTGATCAAGATTTTTAGTATTTTAAAAGCAATTATGCTCAAAGATTAAATAAAAGGAAATAAAAAGACAAAATTACAATTTTTTGTTTTTATTGTTAACAATTTTATTAATATTATATAAATAGTAACAGTTACTATGGTTACAAATCAGACAACTCATCATACCAACTTCTATAGTAATATAAAGTATACTATACTGTACATATTAATTACAAATAGCCTATATATGCAAGTGGTCTGGTTGCTATGGTCCGTTTGGTTGCTATGTCAATGAGCCAGAATATAAAATTGAAGTCTATGGGATCATGTCAAAATACTTACAGTAGTGGCTGAAGAACACTAATCATTTAGTTTGACTGTAGCACTCCCTAAACATATTTTTTTACAAAATGCTGACCCTTATGCTAATATAATGACATACCCCTTAGACTGTATTAACTTTAGCAAAATTGTACATGGTGTCCATAAAGACTCAACACTTTACACTTTGAATACCTGCATGTGTTTGAACCAACAGCATAAATAATGTGATGACTAAAATCAATGCTCAACCATGGTTGGTTGCCATGGAAACAAGGAAGACAATAAAGGTAGCTAGGCTATTTTGTAAATTTTACCTGCAATTGCAATACCATGTAACTTGATATATGTCCAACCAATCGGTTATTGCGTGAAATACATTTTAAATGTAATTTTTGGTCCATAACATCAATATAATAGCCAAGCTATGTTTTGATATCCCAAAATGTTAGACCCCAGGGGTTTCATTAGCAGCCGGATTAGCAGCAGGCAACAGGCAATTTTCATTGGGTGTTTTTCACAAATTCACCTGTTGTTTTTAGGGGCTTTTCAACTTTTCCATGTTAAATATGATTTCCATTAATTCTACCTGTTGTTTTCATTTATTTAGCCTGTTGTTAGAAATTCTAGTGAAACCCCTGCCCTCTCATAGACCCGGTGTCATTTATAGAAACACCAAAGACTGATATGATGCCATCTGGCAGCAAATATAACCTTGTAAAATCAGGTTTGGTCCAAATACTTTAAAATCATAAATCCTGATTCCCATTAAAAAAATCTTTTACATGTATAAAGCCATGTTCATTGGTAAAATAGAAAAAGTGTGACTAAAACAATTGGACATATATTTGTGCATTATTATATCTGCATTACATAAACCTTGATTAGATAACAAGTAATCAATATTCACACATATAAATCAACAAAAAATAAATAATGACTAAATAATTTCCTAATGTTTTCTATCATCAATTTTTCTTGGCCTTTTTTTCCCGTTCCTTGTCCTTTTGAGCCCAGTATTCCTCCGTCTGCATTTCAGTAAGTCGAGATATTGTCCTTTGAAATGCAAATATTTCTTCCTCTCCTGTGAAAATACTACTTTTGGCCAGTTCGTCATTCTGAAATGGAATTCAATTAATAGTTGTCACAATGATTCATAGTGAATTATTGACGATAATTATTTCACCAAAATGTGTATGGAGATCCCATAATGCCCAGCTATCTGAATCAAGGAATTATGGGATTAAGGTTTCCTCTCTTGTCTATGATAAATATTTTCTTTTTCATATTCTACTGTGAATTATGATGGTAAATTCAATTTACACAAAGATTTCTTGAAATGCATGTAGTCCTAAATGTACTGCCTCTTAAAAATCCTATATTGAATTTATAATTTACAAGAGCTTCGCAATATAAACAAATAATAGCACTTAATACAACTATACATAAGTCAATTAATAGACTCATAAGACAAACTAAATGCCCCCTCATCCACTGGCCAACCTGGAAACAGGCTTGGGGAGGTGGCATCGATTTAGCGCTGCAGAATAAGTAACTATACATCCAAAGTTAAGCACTCTAGAACAAGCATATGTAAAATAAAACCTAAATATCACAGTCCAGCAACTAAGGTTAAATTCAGGTTTAAGCAAGAATAAGCACAGAATTTGACTTAGATTTCACAATGTGAAAAAGTTTTAACGATCTGGAATACCATCTCACTGGATGAAGCAAGGATTTATGAGAGACGGAGGAGGATATCAATACAAGGAATTGGTTTGATTGTAGAAGTTGAGGGTCGAAGTAACTTAGTAATACTAATTTTTGGCAATGATTGAACAAAATTACCCAAATTCTATCAAAATGTGAAGGATGCAAAAGCCCTATAACACCCCCTTCAGGGGCGGATCTGGGAACCAACAAGGGGGGCCCAAACTTCTGGTCTGAGAAAAAAAGTTCCACGCTTGCGCAGAAAAATATTTTGGGCCCCTAAAACCAAAAAGTGGGCCCAAATTTTGAAATTCTTAGGCCCATTTTCTTCAAAATTTGGCCTAACATTAAAAAGTAAAGCCTTAGAAGCCCCATTTATGACCAAAAAGACCCACTTTTTGGGTCCTTAAGGCCTTTTTTGGCTCAAAAATATTTTTGGGCCAAATTTTTTTCTTGGCCCACCCAAGGGATGCCCCCCCCCCCAGATCCGCCAGTGCCCTTCCCCCTTACTAGAATAAGCACCCATGTGTAGTTAATGGTCCTGCAAATAGTACCAATGGAGGATAGAATATATAGCTAGAGCTGATAGTGAGGGATTAAACAGATACAGTAAATCTTGTAAATGTGAGCACCTCTATCAACTTATCCAGTGACATCAATCTTGTTTAATTTATTTTTTGACACAACTGATTAGAGAGAATCATTATTATCCAATGAACACACTGCGCTGCAATTTACAGCATTTGTTTGGTGTTCACATTGAGAAGTTTCACTGTTATTAATATATATATAGGCCACCTATACAATCAATTACTAGAAGCAGGATTACCCAGATTACAAAAGAATATACCCATCTCTCCATTTATTAAGCCTATTTATTTCATATCCATTATTTATGGGATAAATAATAAATACTTACTTTCTAAAAATGAAAAATTATAAATATTTAAGTACTATCTTGTTAAATAAAAAATACATGTTAAGTAAATGAGTATACATTAATACATTTAGCAAATCACTTCAAGTTGGATGGGTGTTTAAAGGTGCAACAATTAGTGCAGGGGGGCCATTCAACGATCATCGACCAGTGGATATTTCATCAAGACTAACATATATTTTCATCATCAACAAAGAAACCCCCTGGTTGAACATTATTTCAGCTGATATTCCTCTTGCAACGTGGTGAATCTTAAAAATCTATAAGTGGGACTCCCTTTATAGAAGCTTTGAACTAAATTTACACTTATTAATGCTGAAATTGAGAGTTTATCCATACATTTTAAGAAAATAGGTATGCCAAAGAAGATGTTAAGCCAAATATTGACCTGATAGCTCAGAAAAAATAAAAAGATTCGAATTTTCTCTCTACAGTCCTTGTTGCCCCTTTAACATGGCAAATGTTCAGTAGTATCCAAAGTTCAGCTCCCAGCATTCCTTGCTGATTCTCTGATGTCATGTGATTTACAAGTCAAACTGGGTAATAATATTACTACCATAATCGTCATCTCTCTTCTAAATACTTGGTCTGGAGATGAACACTATGGTAATATTATTACCAAATTGTTCCTTGCCAGGCAAATAAAGATCAGGAAGGAATCTTGGTTATCGATCTTGTCTGTTTTTCCAAATTCAAAAATTCCCACCATGACAAAAATAAATGCACAATATTTGTCAATATATTTTCATGCTTCACAGTTCAAGCAAAATAAAAAGTTTCAGCTTAACACATCAATTCATGCGCATGTTCAAAGTCTAACTGACCAACTCAGAGGACAGGCCATATCCCTAAAACAGAAATTGTTGAAAATAACAACTTGCTTTTCACCATTTTGAAAAGATTTGAATTCTAAAAGATTGAATGTGGATTGTAAATATTAAGATGAACTACTAGCTTTTTTATCTAATCCTTTTTATTATACAAATAACATCTACTTATTGTAATGTACATTTACATGATTGGTCAATGCCTGATCACATATAGCTTGTGCAATATTGAGATAATTGTCCTTGCTATTGTGTGTACAATGTTATTTAAATAAATAAAATAATAAAAATATTTTGATTTCTCACTTGGTTTATTCCTAAATCGTCCATCAATTTCATATTGTCCTCCATGTCTCCATCTGTCTGATGTCCAATCACAAACAAGGAATCAAGTGGTCGGGATGCAGATAGGACTAGTTGAAGCTAAACAAAGAAAAAATGTGATACATTTTCTTGCATATTATGATGGTAGTTCGCAAAAAGTTTTACGAATGTACGAGTCATTTTGACCGAATGATGAAATGTATTACTATGCGAATACTGACCGATTAACTGGGGATAAAACTAACCGATCATAAAGAAAAGTACCCAGATGTTGGGAAAGTAGTCCCAGCGCTTGACCAATCAGAGAGTTAGGCTTTTCAAAAGTTATATTGGCCCGCTGTCTTGTGTAAAGTTTACACCATACATCATCATAGGTATGTCATAACTAAACTTACAGCATTCGACTTTTAAAAGTTCCTTACTTATCATCTCCATTAAATTTGAGATATGAAATAGGAAATGTCAGCTCTACCTATTGTCATTAAATATATCACACATGCTAGTTGGAAAAGTATCACACCTACTTTTTTGTCAAAGAAAGTGTCACATCATACTTTTTAGTCCTTTTCTGTCATAGAAAATGTCACACCTACTTTTTTGTCATAGAAAATGTCAGATCTACTTTTTTGTCATAGAAAGTGGTCCACCTACTTTTTGTTATAGAAAGTGTCAGATCTACTTTTTTGACATAGAACGTGTCACAGCTACTATTTTGTCAAAGAAAGTGTCACACATACTTTTTTGTCTGAGAAAATGTCACACCTACTTCTTTGTCACAGAAAGTGTCACACCTACTTTGTTGTCTTTGAAAATGTCACACCCATTTTTTCCATATAGTGTTACACTTACTTTTTTCGTCATAGAAAATGTCACACCTACTTTGCCATAGAAAGTGTCACACTTACTTTTTTGTCATAGAACGTGTCAACTGCAGTGATAAATCTCCTTGCTTCTGTTCTATTCAGAAGTGACATCTGGGGGATATCTCGTAGAATAACAGTGTCAAATTCTTGGCTGATCTCTAAGTAATCAACAGCTCCCAATGGCTACAAAAACGTTTAAAGACCAAATAAATGTTAGTTGCATAAATAAGTAAGTTGTGCTTTTTATTTTATTCCTCAAATGCTGCTGTAACTGACCAATGAAAACATATTTAATTGAGTCACAAGCATCTCTGTACATTTCCTCAACATCTGGTTCTATATCAGGTAATTTTGAATACTTCTGACCATTTTGCAATCTAAGTCTATATTTTTTCACAATATACTTTATTGTAGTGTATATTAAATATCTTATGAAGATTTTACAAACAGGCAAGTAATTATACATCATCCCAGCATGCACTTTCTAAGAAAGCCAGGAGCGAACCCCCTTGGCCAAAGCTTTTTTCAAAATCATGCATTTTTTTACCTTTCTGAGCACTATTTAAGTAATTTTAGCCATTTTTGGACCAAAATTGTCAAAAGTGAACCCCCCAAATTTTTAAAAGTGACCCCTTGGCAAAAGCCAGGCTACGGGCCTGAAAACCAATAATATTGATCATCATGAGTTCTTTACGTTCTTTACCTTTGAGCAAAGGTCTGCAAAGCTGCAGTCCAGTAGTCTGCCACAAGTCTTCCGCAAGTGCAATTCTCTTCCTAGTAGCACCAGAGTCTTTGCTTCTACTGCACTTCGCTCAGCCTTTGCAAGGTGATCAAATATAGCATCAAGCTTCTCTGTCGTATCATTCTCTGTAGATCTGGAAAAAGTAGAGTGCCATACATTTAGTTTAGATGGGATTGAAATAAGCTCAATTAATCCCTTTAGAAAAAGATTTTTTGGTGGATGGTATACAAGGGACTATATCTATATTCATTACAGTTTTTTATAAAAATGTTGAATTATTTTCTATTTATCTCTACTCATCCATCAGACAAATAATGTACAGAAAACCATGATTAACAAATTGATATTAGTGGATGAGTTCACAGATCCACAAATCTGATGTGTATAAGTTACTATTGAGGTTAAAATCTTTTATCATCTGTGCTATACATACATGAAGTAGACACGGCCTTCTGAAGGTAAAGTCATCTTCCTATAGTCAATTCCTGAGTCTAAGCATACTGTTTGGCACTTTTTCTATAATGAAAAAATACAGAAATTAAGCAGCATTAACATCATAAATGTCATCACCTGCCATTTGTAATAGATGCCAAACACCAACTCCAAATGCTGAACACCAACCGCTGAACATTGTCCACAAAAAGGTTGGAGACTTTAACAATATGTCACCACTTTTGGCTGTGATACAAAAAGTTGTACATTTCAATGGTTTTTATTTTGTATAAGGCCTAATTTCAAATTGAACTTTTAATTGTAGGTCAAGTAAATGATATTTTAAAGAGACCACAGAATGATATTATTTTAAATTGACAAACAAGGCATTACATGACAAAATATCACCACCTAGTTGCTCACAATATAATTAGCCCAAGCCTAGTCAGATTTGCATTTCTGAGAACTCTGTAGATGACTTTGAAAAAAAATTGTCAGTTTGAAGCAAGTCTTTTGACCCTGAGAAGGTCATTGAAGGTGAAATCTAAAATCTAAAGTCAGATTTGAACTTCTGAGAACTTGTAGATAATTTTGAAAAAAAGATCGGTCAATTTGAAGCAAGTTGAAAAAAGACCTTTTTGGTCATTGAATGTCAAATCTTTTTTGACCTCGAGAAGGTCATTGAAGGTCAAATCTATAGTCAGATTTGAACTTTTGAGAACTTGAAAATGATTTTGAAAAAAAATTGGTCAATTTGAAGCAAGTTGAAAAAAGACCTTTTTGACATTTCCTTGACCTTGAGAAGTTTACTGGAGGTAAAATCTTAATTCTAAAAATTCTATTATTCTGAAATCTTGTAGATGATTGGACAAAAAATAAAGTCAGTCTAAACAGTATTGTTAAGTTATTGGAAGTTTTAAGGATTTGTTACAGACGCCAACCACCGCCCGCCGATCTCCAACCACCAACCGCCGCCACAAAATATGGAGACCATAACAATATGTCACCACTTCTTGGTGGTGACATAAAAATGGTTTACTTTTACAGAAAGTGTGCTCTAGTGAATTTACTTACTTTTAATATATCAATGAATGGCACAAAATTTCCTCTTTGAAGACCATTTTTATACAAATCTGGAAGATCACAGATGTCACTATTATCATTATTACAACACAGGGGCAAATCAAGAAATTAACAAGTGCTTGGGGCAAAATTTATTTTTGAACCATGCCAGATCCACCATTTACATATGAGGAAGTGCTTAAATAAATCGATGTAATCTACTTTAATATGTACTGTAGATTGGGTTAATTTGGCGCTAATTTATTTGAGGGTTTTGCCATTTTTGGCATATTGGCGGCTATTTAATTTGGCGAACACTAGGCCTTGAACAATGCTCTGACACCACAACTTCCTTTATCCTTTTCAGATTTTGTAAAAACTAAACTAGAAGTGATTTTAATATACCAGACGAAATTCCCGGGGATCCTTTTTAATCTTTGGCAAAGATGTAAATTGGAGTTTTTTTCAATTTCGCCAAATTCGCCAAATCAAAGCAGGTGCCAAATTAACCCAATCAACAGTATTTCTTACCAGATATTTGAAAAAATAAATAAATTACTTAACGTCACATTTTAATCAAATAATAAGGCTCCTAAAAAATAATAGGATGTCGACTTTTTTCTTTGTGAGAGATGAAATTAAACTTTTACTTAGGTGCTCCCATGCATATATGCAGCAACCTTTACAAGAGTTGTAAATCAAGATGTTATTCAGCTGACTATATTGCAATTAAGCTAAAATCATTCAACCGTTCTCATCCAAAGTAAAGAAAGAATTTCATAATATAGTTGAACTATATATTGAATACATACTATCTGGGTGTCTGTTTGAAGTTGCAATCACTACAATGCCATTTTTGAAGAGTTCCGTAAAGAGACGCTTCAATATGAGGGCATCTGCAACATCTGTCACCTGAAAATGATATGATTTGACAATATTGAATACATACTATCTGGGGTCTGTTAGAAGTTGCAATCACTACAATGCCACTTTTGAATAGTTCCGTAAAGAGACGCTTTAATATGAGGGCATCTGCAACATCAGTCACCTGAAAATGATATGATTTGACAATATTGAATACATACTATCTGGGGTCTGTTAGAAGTTGCAATCACTACAATGCCACTTTTGAATAGTTCCGTAAAGAGACGCTTCAATATGAGGGCATCTGCAACATCAGTCACCTGAAAATGATATGATTTGACAATATTGAATACATACTATCTGGGGTCTGTTAGAAGTTGCAATCACTACAATGCCACTTTTGAATAGTTCCGTAAAGAGACGCTTCAATATGAGGGCATCTGCAACATCAGTCACCTGAAAATGATATGATTTGACAATATTGAATACATACTATCTGGGTGTCTGTTTGAAGTTGCAATCACTACAATGCCATTTTTGAAGAGTTCCGTAAAGAGACGCTTCAATATGAGGGCATCTGCAACATCTGTCACCTGAAAATGATATGTTAGTATGAAAATATCAGACGATTTGACAATATTCAGTCTTGAAAAGTCTTCTCAAGATTCATATTAAACTCAATTTCTTTTACTTGTGAAACAATGATTTTCAATAAGGCATTAACATGCAAAATGTCACCACCTGCCATTTGATACAGATGCTGAAAGCTGACTGCAAAATATGCCAAACATCAACCCACAAACACCAACAGCTGAACACTGTCCCCAAAAAAAGTTGGAGACCATAACAATATTTCATGACTTGTGGTGGTGACATACTGTAATAAAAAGGGTTCCTTAAAAATGGCTTTTAACCGTCAACCAACTAGACAAAATTAATTATATAGTTATAAATACTAATGCTACTATTTACTAAAAGGAAAAAGATTCCCAATATGAAACCTCCCCATGTAACAAAATTACATGGCAACTTAATCACATAGGAAGGTATTCGTTACCTGAAATTCATCGAAACAAAGCAGCCACGCTTCATCACTAAGCTTCTTGGCTACAGGTGGTATCGGGTCAAAGCTTCTGTTCTTACTCCTATCAGCTGTCCTTGGCATTTCTTGCTTCTCCTTATGCACCTCTGAATAAAAGTACAGAATCTTAGCAGAATCTTAGTTTTTAGTAATTATAAATATATAATCAGAGACCCAACTTTTGAGAGCCATCAGTCACAATTCTTGTAAAAATTGAAATGGGTGGGCACATTTGTAATTGCTAAATACATTTATCCTCTAATAAACTTTCTTTTTACTTTCATATTCTAATGCCGTGGACGGAGATATTAGAGGTAGCTAGGACAGGGTAAATGTGAAGATATAAAATCTATATTTTTCTGATTCAAATGTTTCAATTGTTTTTAGTTCAGAAAACCATTTTAATCCTGATATAATGGAAATCCCTCAATCATTTTTTGTGTGTGGACCTATGTTGGTTATACAGTAACTCTTTAAATGCTTCATTCTTACTTTTGTGGACATCCAACATAAATGAATGAAAATGTACTCTCTTCTTCTTTTCTACTTGGCAGTTTTGGTGAAATAAGTCCATCAACATTGTCTTCCCACAACCTAAAACATGAAATAAGAATGCAAATAGATATAAAGATGTAAATATTCACTAGGTTCCAACTTTTTGATTTCAATTTTCTGTTATTCCATTTAAATAATAAAGAATACAATACAAGACAATACAACACAACACAATACAATGCAACATAAGAGGGAAGTTTGTCTACTGATGATGCCTATTGATTTATGCTAATTACATACTGGAATTGTTTTTCATATGCAAGCAGTTTAAAGAATTTAACAAACACGGATTGTACACAATTACGAATAATATAAAATTGAAATGTCAACCTATAATATGTTCATAATACTATATTCTAGCATAGCCAGAATAGAATCAGTGATTTGGTTAATAATTTTCTCACTTAATCCCCATTAATATCTTCAGGCCCGTAGCCAGGGCGGGGTTTCGGGCGAACCCCCCCCCCCTGGCCAAAATTTCTTTCAAAATCATGCAGTTTTTCACCATTCTGACAAATTTTTGAGTGATTTTTGGCCATATTTGCCAAAGTGAACCCCCCCTAGAATTTTTTAGAAAAACGAACCCCCCCTTGGAAAATTCTGGCTACGGGCCTGATCTTCATTTTTTACTCTAACTTGAAAAGATAGTAGATATAACATACCAACATCCCCATGTAGGTAGACACCCTTGGGAGTCTCATCTTTCTTCTTGTCACCAAAAAACTAGAAAATATAAAATATACCTGAGATGCATGTGAAGTTTTGAAACTCATAATACATGTAGTTACTGTATTTTATTGAAATACCACTCCAATTGAAGGTTTTAATCATCACAGTATTTTGAGAGAAAGCATAAATAAAAAATCCTGAGATACTTTTTCAACAACTTATAAACTTATATCAAACCTACTGAGGCTAATCTCCCGCCAGGCTCTGGTGGGCTATAATTCAGCACGCTGTCATTCAGTTGCTCTAGTTTCTCAACGACTGTGCGTTGATAGTCATCAGGTCTAAGGATGCCATCTTGTACTAGTGAATCGTAACAGTCTAGTGGTCCTTTGTACTGTCCAGGTGTGATGTTTGCAAGGTCTAAGCCCTCCTCAGCTGAAGCATTGTATTGGCTCCCAGGAATTATTACACCTGAAATAGTTAATTATATATATTTAAAGGTAAGATACAAACATTCATGTAATTTTCCTAATGACCAATAATTGATGAATTACAAACTGATGAATTTTTTTATATTTGAATCTCCATTGGCAGAATGAGGACATTTTCATTTTCTAGGTTTGAGAAGGGTAATCCATGTAATAACATAAGGGTCCAGTACAGCAAAGTCGGATGTACATGCACGAATAGATGGAAGAATTTTGACAGTTGAAATAAATAAATAAAACACATAAAAATTCCTTGTAAAAACAAAATTAAGCTTTCTTGTTCTGCTGAAATAAGGTGGAAAACATCTCATTTTAGAAATTTTGCAATGATCTTATATTTGCAGTATTATCTGTCAAGAATTGCAATATTGCGGTATGGTGTTACCTCATGCCTGTATTAGTTAATGAAAACACAGAATGAAATCCTGTGCTAAGGGCTGATGTGAAAAAGTCAGTCCACCCCAGTGGGGATTGAACCCACGACCCCTCGCCTTCCGGGCAAGTGCTCTTCCACTGAGCTACAGGACCGACTGGCTTTTCCACATCAACATTGCATATGTACAGCATTGCAGCCATGTCTTACATGCCCAGTTTCCTGGACCCCATATAAGTAACCTGTCTTTCCAGGTTGTCAATCACTCTATTCATGATGTCACGTGGACTTTCCCATGGGCCATTCCCCCTAAGGAGAAGTAGTTCCATGATTTCTTCTGAAAAGCTTTTGTGACCTCTTGATCCTTGAAAATCTAGTATGTAGGCTTATGTTACAATATTGTAAACTGAATGTACTGTTATGACCCTTGATAGCAAGTCGCTGCTAAAGTCTCGGCTAGCCCATTTGACCAAATCGTTAGAGTGTCAGGCTTGCAAGATGGAGAGGCTTGGTTCTATTCCTGTACTAGGCCTTGAATTTAGTGCACTCCTTTTCAGGTGTAGTACCTGGCTCGTTACACTACAGCCCACTGGATGAGTGCCCACGGGTCATAACAGTGATGTCAGAAGTGGGATTGCCCTTGTGAATCAGATACAATGGGACATCGTCTTTCAGGGGGATGGTGTAATAACCCTCGATAGCAAGTTGCTGCTACCATAATCTCATTGTAGTAATTTTAGTGGTGCCAAATCAGTAAAGCATCCAGCTTGCGAGCGGAAGATCCTCAGTATACATGTATCCATTACCCAACAGACTCACTAGAAGTCAGTCTGAATACATTCAGACTTATAGGATATAGTCTAGGAGGATCCTGGGTTTGATTGCTGTAATGGGCATTAGATTTAGCACACTCCCTTTCACGTCTAGTATCTGGCTCGATACATTCAGCTCCCCGGACGAGTGCCACTGCCAGTGTAGAGTCCATTTCACTGCTTCATTTCGTCAGTAGAACGGCAAAAATTTACTTCCTGCGAAAGCTATTTGGATTTTGATATAATAGCTTTCCCACGGAGCATTTGGACAGCTCAATGATCATGACCTTTGAAATCGAATTAAGTCAATCCGCGGCTTACTTTTGGTCTCTAACTGTGTCTTACATCAGTATCATCAATCCGTGTAAGTATTGGAGCGCTGGAGTACTTCTTTTTCGATCAAGACTTGTAATTGTTAGTCGAGTGAATCGTTTTACTGCCAAATTCCAATATGGCGGTTTCTGCTTGGACATTTTCGTAAATCTCCGGAGGTTGTCCGAACCTAACTAAATCTCAAAATTCATTTCGTTCATTGCGTATCTCACACCTAGCAAACCGCCATATTGGAAATAGGTCTGTAAAACTTTAACTCGATGAACAATTTACAAGTCTTGATCGAAAAAGAAGTACTCCAGCGCTCCAATACTTACACGGATTGATGATACTGATGTAAGACACAGTTAGAGACCAAAAGTAAGCCGCGGATCGACTTAATTCAATTTCAAAGGTCACTATTGATCAGCTGTTCACTTCTCCGTTTGAGAGCCAAAAGTTTCAAAATCTAACATGGCTCTCAAAGTGAGTAAGCAAAAATAAGAAATTGGGAGACCATTGTGCAATAATATATGGAAAAGTATATTCATAATGTACATGAATGACATTTGTATATTTCAGATTTTTTAGTTTTTTGTGCAATAAGCCTGTGCCGTCTTGTAATTTGAAGAATTTCAGCCATGTTAATCTTATTGAAAATAACATGGCAGAGAAGCATCCAAATATAAGAGGCCACACACTTCATAAGCTAAACTAGAAGCAATCCAAGATATACAAATGTCATTCATGTACAATAGGAATATATTTTTCTATATATTATTGCAAAATGATATTTTGATTTCTTATTTTTTAGCTTTTACTGACGAAGTTAAACAGTGAAATGGACTCTAGGCCTACAGTAGACTCAAGAATTTGAGGTTCAGAATAATTAGAAATACAGTAAATTTGAGGCAAATTTAGAACTGTCACCGCCATAAAATTATACTCACTATTAGCCTGAACTGAGGTTGACTTGTCGCACTTAATTATTTGTGAGGTAAAACGCAAAATACGACAAGAAAGGCAAGGAACTCTGTTCAGTGACATTTTCACTTCACTGGCGTGCGTAGCACGTCACGACATTTTGGGTTGATGACGTCATCGATATAGGTGCACAAATGATAAGTCTGAAAAACAAATATTTGTATAAAACCGTTGATATTTGAAGACTTTGGTACATGGTAAGCCTTTTTTCATGTCACATTTAGATAATACTTTTATCTGTAAGAGGTTCTTGGTGGAAATGAATCTTTTTCTCGTGGCATGCAGTTGGAAGCTTTGAAATTTATTTTCAGTTTCATCATTTGTGAGTGACCTTTGTCATGTGTTTTTCCTGGGGGAGGGTCGTCGTCTGGAAGTCGTATAAGTAATTTTGTAATAACAATTAAATATACAGACTCTATCATGATCCCCCAAGTTCCTGTTTACAAAATCATCTGAAACTTTGTTGGTCACAGGCGCTTGAACATTTATAACACAATCGAGTCGAGGTTGCCTTAGTTCAACAAGTTAAACCCAATACCACGGCTTTCATTTATAATCTGAGTGTTCTTGTTGCCGTGGTTGGGTTTAACTTCCGTGCTATGCTTTCATTGGTTGCAAATTCTCACTATCAGTTATTAATAAAACGCGCATAAAATTCTATGCGCTGCCATAGGCCATCATTAAAAATATTTGCATCAAGGGCCGAATAGGCACGGATGTTAAACCTAGGGCGGGCCACAAGAAATGTCAGATAAGAAATAAGGCCCAGACTAGGTTTAACTTGTTGAACTAAGGTTGCCTAAGAGATATCTCTTCATTCAGAACTAGCCTCGATTTTCATGTTCCCGGGCCTATGGTTTGAACTGATATGAAAATCCAACCCTACCCCAATTGTCTGTGAACCAAGAAAAACATTTTCCGCATGTAATGACTCATGTTCCATATTTATAGATGCACTATATTCAACAATTCAAAGTTCATTGATAAACCTAAGATTTGTGTGTAATTTCAGGTTATTGCTGATACAGACTACTTGATATCGTATAACTATGACTCATTGGTGATATCATGGCTAGCTCTAATGACCCAATTAGAAAAGCATTATTTGCATCACCAACAAGTGAGGAACCTGAGTCATCATCAGAAGCTATTGACTCTATTATGAACAGAATTCAAGTTGAACACGACGTAGAAAGAAGCTTCAAAGACTTGCAAAAAGATCTCCATGAACAGCGATTGAAAGGACTGAAAGAAAACATCAAAAAAATATCTGAAGATAATTGGAGATATACGCCTATTGACAAACTGTTAGGACAAAATTAGGAGTGCCACTAGTACTGTAGTATATAAGACAATTTGGATTATTAACAATATCATCAACATAACAATAGGCGGATCCTTTTCAAATATTTCAAGAATGGCGTCTTTATATGTAAAAGATGATGCCCCGGCATTCTCTGATTTGGACCAGAAGAAAACCGAAATGACTGATAAACTCAAATTAAGGGAAGATGAACGTCTAGCTCAAATAGATCAACGGAGAGAAGAAAAAGAGAGCACTGAAGCAAAGGATGAGAACACAAAATATTTTACAGAAAATTTTCGAAGCCTCAAAAATGAAATTGAGGCTAAACTTGTTGAATGTGAAAAAATTCCCAAAACCAAGCTTGGAGAATATTTTGAAAATGTTTCATTGAATATAAGTAAATTGCAAAAGTTTTTAGCAGATTCTACTTTGTATTTACCAAAATATGAAATAAGACAGGCACAAGAGACAATCAGCAAACTTCAGAATGAATTATCTGAAATGAAAGAAAAGATGGTCCCTAAGAAAAAGTTTGCTTTTAAGTCTAAGAAAAAAACTGCTGCAAAAGCACCAGAAAAACCAATTGAAGTTGCACCCGCTCCTACCGTAACTAAAGTGATTGAGTTGAATGAATGTAATTTTGCAGATAAAAACAATGAAGAACTCACAAAATCTAGTGACGAGCTAAACAACAAAGATGTCTCCCTAGCAAGATTGAATCATTGTACTGTTAAATTGTTTGGTGCCCCGAGCGCCATCCATATTAATAAGCTTCAGGACTGTACGATCCTGTGTGGTCCTGTTTCGGGGTCTGTTTTCATTGATAATTGTGTCGATTGCAAGTTTGTTCTCGCATGCCAACAGTTGCGTATCCATCACACAACTAAAACACATTTCTACATTCACGTCACAAGCCGGGCAATCATTGAAGACTGTAATACTGTCGAATTTGCTCCATATAATTTGGAATATCCCAACTTAGATTCACATTACGAAGTATCTGGATTGAATAAAGCTAGAAATAGCTGGGATGATGTTGATGATTTTAACTGGCTGGCTAGTGATGCCAAATCGCCAAACTGGAACATACTGGATGTAAACAAGAGAGTAACTACATGGAAGTAGGACTTCTCATTTATATATCTTGTGTCAAAACTTGAAGACTTGTCTTGTATGGACATCAATATAACCTTATAACTGTAGCTTGAATTTTAAAGAAAACAACTATTCTGCTGTATGATTGAATTGAACTTCTAATGTGTGTAAATTTTACGTATTGCCAGTTAAGTCTTCTGAATGTGTTTTCTATCGTGTCATATCTGTTACAATGTGTTTGCTTTTCCTGATTTCCATGCTTAACTATGTATTTGTTTTGTGACAAATCAAACTCAAGAATTTTAATTTAATAAAAAATCATGTGTTTTATCAAAACTAAAAATTGTTTAGTTCCATTTATGGAGTCAGTTACATCTAAAGATACAACTTGATACTAGTATTTAAAGTCCCCGTCTAAAGTTTGAAAATATTTTTTTATCATTCATTTACTATTTGTCAGGAGTTAAAAAGTGATTTTAGAGATATTTGAACAAAAAAAAATTTTCAAAAAAAAGTTGTGAGCATTTCATTTCTCAAATATTCAAATTTCCCGCCATTTTCAATAAAAGTTGAAATTTCTCAATCATCAAATATTTCTTAATGCATTTCAAAAAAGATTATCTATTTAACACCAATGCAAAGATTGAACAAAAGACACACTATTTCAATAATAAAATGTCATATTTAATGGGCCACTTCAATGTTTTAGCTTATCAAAAATATTTTGAAACATTAGTGATGTCACTAAGGTACCAAAAACTTTTGGAAAAAAATTGAATTTTTTTTTTCAATGTCAATCTTTTCTAAATATGCTAGACTTTCATAAAAAAACAATGTTGATTGTCTAACTAGGTTAAAGGGAAGAATAAATTATGTTTTAGATATCATTGTACCATTGGTTTCTATGAGAACTAAAATTTTGAAATGCATTTTTCTCAGAACCATTTTCATGCACTGATAAGTTCATTTCTCGCTTGTTTATCAACCGATTTTCTTAATTTTTTCGGCAAAAAACATGGGAGGATGAATGCTATGCATTGGTATGAATTGTGGCTAATTAGAAGATATGAGTGACCTCTAAAAGTTGGTTTTAAATAAATTCACAAATTTTGGAACAAAAAGTCTATCAAAAACCACTTTTTGAAATTTAAAAAAAAAGTTTCACATATCACACTTTGATAACATTGGGTAAGACTACAATATAAGCCAAAGTGGTTTAAACTTTACACGGGGCCTTTAAAAGTTCCCATGTAAAGTTGTATGAAAATGTGTTTTGATGCTTCATTTATTTATCATTTGTTCTGACTTCAAAGTTATTTAAGAGATTTTTGAAAAAAAGTTGTCAGGTATTTATTTCTCAAATAGGCAAATTTCCCGCCATTTTTCAAATAAATTGACATTTTTAATCAAAACTATTCTACTATACAGTGCAAAAAATGTTTAAAACCAATCTGCCAATGCAAAGATTGAACAAGGCATTAACATGATAAGATGTCGCCACCTAGTTGGTCACAATATTATTAGCTCAATATTAAGTCAAATTTGAATTTCTGAGAACTTGTACATGATTTTGAAAAAATAAATTGGTCAATTTGAACCAAGTTGAAAAAAGACCTTTTTACCTCGAGAAGGTCATTGAAGGGAAATCTAAAATCTAAAGTCAGATATGAACTTCTGAGAACTTGAAGATGATTTTGAGAAAAATTGGTTCAGGTGAAGCAAAATGAAAAAGACCTTTTTGACCTTGAGAGGGTCATTAAAGGTCAAATCTTTTTTGACCTTGAGAATGTCATTGAAGGTCAAATCTCGTAGATCTCATGGTCAATATGAAGCAAGTTGAAAGAAGACCTTTCAGCCTTTGTATACTTTTTGACCTTGAAAAGGTCATTGAAGGCCAATATAAAGTCAGATTTGAACTTCTGAAAACTTGTAGATGATTTCGAAAATATTTGAAGTCAGTCTAAAGAGTATCTATCTGTTAAGTTATTGGAAGTTCTAAGAATTTGTTACAGACACCAATCGCCAACCGCCAACCATGAACCACCGTCACAAAAACGGAGACCATACCACATGTACCAATGTGTCACCACTTTTTGGTGGTGACATAAAAGCAGACACTCTCATCGTTCAAATGGTAAATATTGGACCCTTAACATAAGCTCTCATTTGCTCAGCTTATATGTGCTTCAACAATTTAAATGGGCACTTTTCCAAGCATGAATGTTAATTTCTCAAATTAGCTAAAGGACTGTCTGTTTAGAATGATATAATGTGACATAAGATCATATCCACAATTATGCCAAACAGGTAATATAAGATTCAATATAAGATATAATGTTCAAAGCATTTAAAAAACATTTATTTAAGGGTGATTTTAAAGGATAAAATAGCACAGAAAATGATTTAAGAGAGCTTCTAATAGTTTGTGAACCTTAACATTTTTCACAGTCAAAACAAATAGTTTTCCATTTCATTTTTTTATTCATAGAATTTATTTTGACATAATATATAAAACATAACACTTGTAGCTTTGCTTATAGCATAAGATGGCACTCAAAACAAATATATTACATGTTGTGTTACAGAGATTTACAGGGAGATGAAATACTGTAAATTGCTTTAATTTGGCTAGTTGATAAAAACCGCCAAATCAAGGCTCTGACAATTTAAAAAAATTAAATAGCTGTCAAAAATACCTGTGTCAAATTTTAACCAAACCACCAAATTAAATACCGTATTCTCTGTAATTAGCGCCCAGGGCGTTTAGAAAATTGAAAATACATTATTTAGACCATTCTAATAAGCGCCCATGTATGAAATCAGAAATCCCGAGGAATTTCATGTATGGCAATTTTTCTTGACAAGAATGCATTTTCTTCAACATATTTTTATAATAATATGACAAGTGCTGTTATTGGAGAGAATACGGTAAAGATCGCTTAGACAATATTGACAGTGGTTGAAGACCCGTCTATGTCTAATTTATTTCCGGCACGCCCACTTTGTCATTATCGCCGATTACCTTCAATATTTCCACTAGAGACTGCTGGATATCGATCTAAAGTTATACATTATTTCTAATTTGATGAGAGATCATCATTATTCGTGCAAAAGTCGTGTAAAAGTCGAGAAACATTAAAAAGAAACCAGAAAGTTCACGACCTTGACATGCGCAGAACATCTGCGCAGTAGCTTTTGAAATTTCTGAATGCCGATAAAGAACAATTCCTTCATTCATTATGGACTATTTGGAGACAATATTAGCATGGTATGGTGTGGGAAGCACCCATCGATAGATATGTATCGAGAGGATGCATAGAATTACAAAACGCGTCGTGTTTACAGCAGTTTTAGGGTAAGTACTCTATTATCGCCCGCTCCTGGATTTTGAGAAATATTTTTTTCCTGATATATTCTTCAATTCTTGTTGATTCCTCGATGTTTCTTGAACTTTGTGAAGCGGGGTGGGCGCTTATTAGAGAGTGGGCGGTAATTACAGAGAATACGGTAGTACTAAACTTAAGCGATTTTTTTAATCATTTTTCCTCATAAAGCCAATTTCCTAAAATGGAGATATAATAGACATTCTGCAGGCATGAACAGTCCTTTAAATTCCCTCAACCACTCTGAATGATGGGTATGTTACATAGCTGCGCTGCCATTGTCAAAGTCATGAGTTTAACCCAGTGTGCCTAAGATAACTTGGTTTCATGGATACACACAATCCATTGCTGAATGTCAAAATCGAGGATAAGGAGGAGACAATCCATTAAAAATCGTACTAAATCTTCATGTTTTAATCCACAGGGAATTGTGATACCCAGCTCTGACATGTCTGATGGCTTGAAGTCTTGATGATTCCATAGATATGGCAGCCACAGTCCATTTGGAATATTGGATACCCATAAACGTAACCAATTAGACTGCTTAGGTCTGCCAGGAATTATGGGTACCCATCTCTCACCACTGGAGATCATGAACTACCCCCAGGATGCCTCAGTCCACCTGGTTTAAAGCCAGGTTTTTCTAAGAATGATGGATGCACTCCTCCCATTGCTGGATTCACTGAAAATAAAGTAAATCATTAAATTAAATTAATGAACCAGATGCATGTTTCAGAAAGCTACTGACATGACAAATGTGTTAACTGAAGTGGACAATTGATCAATATTGACTGACTTGCCTTCTGTATCAAGTAAACATTAAGTTACCCAACAGCGTGTGCCAACATGGAAAAATAACATAATTTCTCTGAATATTAAGTCATGGATCCTGTAGATGTGAACTATCACTATTCCACACAAGCACACACTAAACATTGTATCTACCGATATTTACAGGAAACAAGAATATGGTATCATAAATTAGAATGTAAATTCCTTTAAAGGGTTGCATATTTTGTGTCACCCTGTATTAGCATCTATTATTATATTTTATTGTAACTACTATCTTTATTGACCATAATAAAATGGAGATACAACTTATATGTACAGTTATTAAAATAAAAGTACAAATTATGACAAAATTTATACGTAGACATATAAAAAAAACTATTCATCGAGCAAAATGCTTGTGAAGTTGAGTCAGACACTGTAAGTGTCTCAAACACAGTCACTGTTAGACTGTGCTTTATATTGTTTGAAATTTTCTCACTCACCTGGAGGTTCCATAGTTGTAGATTCCATCATAGACTTTTCCATTGCCAGAGATTCAAGCTTCTCAGTGTAGAAACCATTGAAGTCCAATCTGGAACACAGCAAATAAACATAACTTAAACTGTAATATGACAAACAAACATTATTTACTCTGTACAAACATTATTTACACTGTAATATGACAAACAAACATTATTTACACTGTAATATGACAAACAAACAAATACACTGTAATTTGACAAACAAACATTATTTACACTTCTGTGTAAATTCATCACTCTGGTAATATATTAATAATAACTAAAGTTCATTCACTTCAGAGTAAAATGTTTTATTTTCGACGTTTCAGTAATCATTCAACTAGCTTTATCAAGATTCAAAATGGAAGTACACAGTTATATTATTTATGACGTAACAATTGAACAATACAATACCCAGGTTACAATAAACAATACAATAATAAACAACTAGAAAAACAGCAACTCCACAGAGTAGCAAATCCCACCGAACAAAACATATTATGCTTATTATAGCTAGTGTAAATGTTGAAATGTTTGTGCACTTTGTGGTAGAAGCATGAAATTTGGCACAAAGTAGTTTATACCATTGTGAACTAGGCATCATCATATAAAATTTGAACCAAATCCGTTCACTGGTAAATGAGTTATCAAAGATTACGTTTTTTACGAATATGGGCCGCCATCTTGAAATTCAGCCGCCATCTTGAAAATTATTTCTTGAAGAGAGCTACTGTGTCCCTATGCATAATCATATAAAATTTCAACCAAATCTGTTCCCTGGTATTTTGAGTTATCAAAGATTACGTTTTTTAAGAAAAATTGCCGCCATTTTGAAATTAAGCGGCCATCTTGAAAATGTTTTGTCGAACATAGCTACTGTGTCCCTAAGCATCATCATATAAAATTTGAGCCAAATCCGTTCACTGGTATTTGAGTTATCAAAGATTACATATTTTTACGAAAAATGTCCGCCATTTTGAAATTAAGCGGCCATCTTGAAAATCTCTTTTTGAGCGAAATTCCTTTGTCCCTAGGCATCAGCATATAAAATTTGAACCAAATCCGTTCACTGGTATATGAGTTATCAAAGATTACGTTTTTTACGAATATGGGCCGCCATCTTGAAATTCAGCCGCTATCTTGAAAATTATTTCTTGAACAGAGCTACTGTGTCCCTAGGCATAATCATATAAAATTTCAACCAAATCTGTTAACTGGTATTTGAGTTATCAAAGATTACGTTTTTTACGAAAAATTGCCGCCATTTTGAAATTAAGCGGCCATCTTGAAAATGTTTTGTCGAACATAGCTACTGTGTCCCTAAGCATCATCATATAAAATTTGAACCAAATCCGTTCACTGGTATTTGAGTTATCAAAGATTACATATTTTTACAAAAAATGGCCGCCATTTTGAAATTAAGCGGCCATCTTGAAAATCTCTTTTGGTGCGAAACTCCTTTGTCCCTAGGCATCAGAATATAAAATTTGAACTAAATCCGCAAACTAGTATTTGAGTTATTAACGATTACATTTTTTTACGAAAAATGGCGGCCATTTTGAATTCAGTGGCAATATTGAAAATCCCTTCTCGAGCAGAGGTCCTACACCCATAAGGCATAAGCCTATAAAATTTGAATCAAATCCGTGAAACGGTATTTGAGTTATCGCCAGGACAAACAGACGGACGGACGGCTTTCCTATATCCCTCTCGAACTTCGTTCGGTGGGATAAATATCCTATATTAAGAGCCAGGTTTATGAACTAAATATATGAAATGTCAAAAAAATGTCATGTTGCACCATATGACCATGTATGAACATTCCTTATTAGTTTTGAGTCCTCATTTAGTACAAATTTCTATTAAAGGGGAAAATGCATGAAATTTGAGTTTATGAATCATTAGATATCAAAAGCGAAAGTAGAGAAGTGAATGGAGTATATTTTGTAATTGTAACATAAGGAAATTGTTTGTATCTATGGAGCAAGAGTGCATGTTTTTAACAAGTTAATTATATAGACTCAATCAAAATGTTTATAGACTGCTCCTCGATCAATATCTATTTTCAGGTATTTTCAGGTTGGTATGAATTAAAAATTTATATTAAAAATATTCAACATACCATGCATAGATTCCACATTGCTTTATATGAAAGCCTGTTATGCAAAGTACGCCCGTGCATACCAAATGAATTTGATAAATTTTAAATATGTGTTTAGATGCATTAATTTGTTTGCACATTTATTGATGATTCTGTATTTGTACATTTAACCATTAAAGCAGATATGAAATGGTATTTTTAACCTAAAGGAATCAGTATAATTTTTTGATAGATGTATTTGGACATGTTTTCTCATCAGTAGTGTGGAAATAATTTCACACTAACGATCGTTATAGCTGCTTAATAAGCAATATTTGAATTGGTTGTGACGTTATTGGCCCCCACGTGATCTCTCACTGGTCCCCACGTGGCCCGTTTTGGTCCATAAGATCATGACGCCATAATGCCAAAATGATTTGTTATTTGTTTACACAACAATCCTATGGTTGCCGTGACGTTGTGATTACTAAGAAACCAATTAACCAAAGCTATATTTTGCATATGACGTTACAAATCACGTGGGGGCCAATTTGATTGATCAGTTAGTTTTATTTCGTTATTTATGACCGTTAGCAGTTATCTAACATTTATTTTATAATGGCTATCGCAAGAACTCTACGTTTGGCTTACAATGGAGAAAACCGCATTTTTGTAGCTGCAAGTTGAGAAAAGCTATTTCAGTTGTCCTTTAAGTTTTATCAGAATAGAATACTTGAAGTTGATAAAAATGCTAAGATTGCATCAAATAATGTCTTCGGAAAAAATTTCCTAGGGAACATACCCCCGGACCTCACAAGATCAGAAATCCCCGAGTGGGCGTCGAAACTCAAAATATAGCCCTACGCCCACGGAAAATCATCCCAAAATACAAAAAGTGTCACATCTTTGAACACTAAAAGAAGATTAATAGCAGCTTGTATTTCAAAGGTATGAAGTTTTCATGATTGAAAATCAAACTGGTAAACGAATATGGTCTAATAGTACAAGCACTGAAACTATGATGACCTTACTGTTGAAGAAGTCACTGTTGAAGAAAACCAAAGAAATGCTCACTGTCATTAAAGTACATAATTTTAATATGAATGTATTCAATCATGACCTGGAAGTTTATATGTTGATCATATCTCATGAAAAATAAGGTTTATGTTACTGGGGATATTGACGTTTTTTTTAAAGCAGAAATCACATCTTTCTATTGAAAACTTCCATAATATTTCAAAAATCCTCCCTCTTCAGAAGATCAAATGCTAACAAATGGGAATTATAGTCATAAATAAATATAGATTCCCCTTGCTCTAACATCCTAATTTTCTAGTAATGAGCCAATCAAAATTTTCTGCAATTTAGCTTTTTTGTACAGGAAAATTCATTCAATTCTAGCCACAGCAAGCAAGGCATACAAACTAAAGCATCCTATAACTTTGTAATCCAAGCACATGATATATTTGACAATTTTATTTACCTTATAAATGCATATATTTGTCACACCTGCTAATTTTAGACTTCCCTTTTCCCTTGGAATGCAAATCCTATTTTTAGAACCAGGGAAGTTTATTTAAAATTTTACAGCCACCAATTTATGTGTAGGAGTATTATTTTTGAGTATGACAAGTGAACTGGCTTGGAATTTGTAAATATCTGATAATGCATGTCATAAACCAGGTAGTTCTAAATCAGGCCTCTGTGACACACCCATTTGCTCTCTCGCTCTCTCTCTCTCACATGCAGATTCAGTTTTGATATTTGCCTTTTACAAAAGATCTCATACTTATAAGAAGTGAAGTTATTAAAAACATATTTAAATAAGCTCTTCTTTATTTACCAATAGGGTAGTGTTCTCATCTTCCATACTGGCTGGGTGACAGAAATTAGTTTTAAGACTTTGAACCAGGAAGAAGATTAAAAATTTTGAAAGAAAAATAGAGACAATGGACCAGGAAGAGAAAAAGAAATTAATAAAATTTGAAAATTTCAGTAATACACAGGAAGTGCATGAGTCACTTAACACTCTCTACACTTTAAATAAAGCTAATCTTACTGATATCTCATTTCAGTCAAGGATCACATTCTGAATGGTAGGTACAGTTAAATATTTCGATCTATTTATTTCTACATATTAAAATCTTTTTATATCTTTACATATTAAAATTTTCTTATTTGTTAATCTTTTATTTTCTAAATACATTTTGTACAGAAGTGCAAAATTAATAAAGAAATTTATCAGGAATAAATGTACTTAATATTCAGAAACATTTCACTTCACCTTCCCTTGTGGGGGTATGGTGTATAGGTGGGGGGGGGGCATAAGGGCTTAAAGCAAGACTATGACAAGGTATCAACATGACAAAATGTTGCCACCTAGTTGCTCACAATATTATTAGTTCAATTTTAGTTTTGAATTTCTGAGAACTTGTAGAGGAATTTGAAGAAAAAATTGGTCAATTTGTAGCAAATTGAAAAAATAACTTTTTTAGACCTTGAGAAGGTCATTGAAGGTCAAATCTCAAATCTGAAGTCAAATTTGAACTTCTGATAACTTGTAGATGATTTTGAAAAAAACATTTGCCAATTTGAAACAAGTTGAAACAAGACACACAGTGATAAATATCGCACTTTGAAGAGCAAACTGGCCACCATGCAATTTACCCAGCATGGCCAAAACCTAATCAGACCTTGGCACTAGTCTGCTCTTGCATCTGTAAACATTTCAAGTTGACAAGGTTAGCGGTTTTCCTGCAATTTTGATGACAAGAATTTATTTGTAGTCTTGAACTTTGGGAAAATTTAGATAACATTGTTTGTGACCTAATTTGATGACCTTTGACCTTGAAAATTTCACTTTTTCAGGTCTTTTGTAATTAGCTGACCTAAATTTAAATCCAAAATATCAATTTAGAAAATAAAATTTTTGACCTTTTCAAGGCCACTGAAGGTCAACGAAAGGTCAAATCTGAAATCTAAGGTCAGATTTGAACTTCTGAGAACTTGTAGATGTTTTTTAAAAAAAAATTTGGTCAATTTGGAGCAAGTTGAAAAATTCAAAATGGCCGCCAAATTGAAAAATTCAAAATGGCCACCATGTAATTCAGCCAGCATACCCAAAACCTAATCAGATCTTGGCAATAGTCTGTTCTTGCATCTGTAAAAATTTCAAGTTGAACGGATAAGTGGTTTTCCTGGAATTTTGATGACAAGATTTGTTGAAAAATTCAAAATGGCCACCACGTAGTTTACCCAGCATGCCCTTAACCTAATCAGATCTTGGCACTAGTCTGCTTTTGCATGTGTAAACATTTCAAGTTGAACAGGTTAGCGGTTTTCTTGGAATTTTGATGACAAGAATTGATTTGTAGTCTCAAACTTTGAGAAACTTGGATAACATCATTTGTGACCTAGTTTAACTCTTTTGCGCGGTATTTAATTATTTTTAAAAGCTACCGAGCGGTAATTAATTTACTAAAAATTAGGATTTTCATGCCTGCCAATTTGAAAGTGACATAAAACCTAAACCAACAGAGATAACACCACCAAATTTTTACTCATAATTGGAAACATATGTATAAATCATATGTTAACGTATGAACTCATCACAAATAGAGGCACTGATGATAAAAAATCCTAAACATTATGTATTGCAAAAAAACATAAGACCCCTACTAAATATTACCTTGGTGTACCCCAGCAGCTTCCCTTGCCTGTCCCCCAGGCACAGAGTTGTCAGGCCCATCATCGTTCTGAGTTTCATTTTCTGAGGCTTCAAATATTAGGCTTCACTGCCAGAATAATTGAATATAGCAGCGATTTGATCATTATTACCCGTCTAAATCTAGCCCTTTTTAAATACCACAATGTCTGATCACTTCCAGATTCGTATTTGTTACAAAATAAATCAATTAAGTGACCAAAATAATTTTTTTCAGAAACTTTGCTTCGCCAAATTAATTTTAAATCACTTCCTGTCAATGTGAGTACCAAATATTGGCACTGCAATACAAGGGTGACATCTTTTGAAGTCTGCTAAAACTTTCCTATAGCATGTCGACTCCAGGTTGACATACGCCATAAAGCGTAGTGGCGACAAAACTCGCCTGACCGCGCAAAAGAGTTAATGACCTTGACTTTCGACCTTGAAAATTTAACTTTTTCAGACCTCAGTATGTGTTTTGTAATTAAGCTGACCTAAATTTAAATCCAAAATATCAATTTAGAAAATCAACTTTTTTGACCTTTTCAAGGTCACTGAAGGTGAATGAAAGGTCAAATCTGAAATCTAAGGTCAGATTTGAACTTCTGAGAACTTGTAGATGTTTTAAAAAAAAAATTTGGTCAATTTGGAGCAAGTTGAAAAATTCAAAATGGCCGCCAAATTGAAAAATTCAAAATGGCCACCATGTAATTCAGCCAGCATACCCAAAACCTAATCAGATCTTGGCAATAGTCTGCTCTTGCATCTGTAAAAATTTCAAGTTGAACGGATAAGTGGTTTTCCTGGAATTTTGATGACAAGATTTGTTGAAAAATTCAAAATGGCCGCCACGTAGTTTACCCAGCATGCCCGTAACCTAATCAGATCTTGGTACTAGTCTGCTCTTGCATCTGTAAAAATTTCAAGTTGAACAAGTAAGCAGTTATCCTGGAAATTTGATGACAAGATTTGGTTTATGTTTAGAATACCACCATATGTTATATATCATATGAAAGCTTGTTCAATTCTGGACTTATTTAAATAACTTTGAATATGCTCAACAGTCCGATACAACTTGCTTCATGCGTACCCATTTCATCTTAAGCATAGAATCTGAAAGCTTCATTTTTTCCAAAATTAGCCATGTGCCTGAAGATATATCCCGTTAATATTTGAAAGACAAAAGTATAAAATATTTCAAAGAAATACCAAGAGACTTTTAAGTTTGTTTTTTTTCAATTTCAAAATAATTTATTTCAGTTTTCATTACAAAAATTACAACATTATACAGGCTATGACACCCCAGGGGGTGTATGACTGCCCATAATTAAATTTACAATAAACATGATAAACTGTGAACATTTAAAGTGGTACATAGGTCAATACAATAATATAATATAAATACAATATACAAATACAATAATATGAGACAATAAAGAAATGAAATAAATGTTTTGGTTACTCTGTACTCAGGAGGTCAATTTTCAAACGAGATATGAGTGAATTTAATGGTTTATTTCTAATATCTTCATTGAGGGAATTCCATATATATGAACCATGGACCTTAATAGAATTTTCACAAATTCTGGTTCTATGTTTAGGAATATCTAAGTTATGACCAAATCGAGTTATACGTTGATGTATGTTTTCTCTAGTTTTGAAATAGTGATCGTATAATTTAGAAGGGAACTGTACAGATTTGCTTATAACTTTTTTCATGAATGAAACAGTTTGGATTGTGTGAATATGATAAATATTAAGTATTTTAAGATCTTGAAAAATTGGGAATGTGTGAGCTAATCTATCTGAATTTGTTATTAATCTAACAAATTTCTTTTGCAATATCAGTAGTTTATTTAATAGATTCTTACAAGCATTTCCCCATAAAATATTACAGTAATTAAGATGAGAAAAAATCAGAGAGTTATATATTATCATCTTTGAATTTAAAGTATGAGCATAATTTGTTCGATATAACATTCCTATAACATTTGAAACTTTTCTATGAAGAGCATTGATATGGGGAGCCCAAGATAATTTTGAATCAATAATTACTCCCAGGAATCTCATCTACTTTTTCAAGGTTAGAATTTGCAATTTTTATTTCATTGTTCACAGATATATTTCTTTTATTTCCAAAGACCATGTATTTTGTTTTCTTAACATTTAAAGTGAGTTTATTGGCCAACAACCAATCATTGATGTCACACAGTTCAGAATTTACGGTTGTGGTCAAATTATCAAGATTGGAATCACTACATAATATATTAGTGTCATCCGCATAAATCACCAGTTTGAGTTTATCAGAAACTAGATAGAAATCATTTACAAATATGATAAATAGGAGGGGGCCTAGAACAGACCCTTGGGGTACTCCACAGTTAACGATTGCTTCTTCAGACAAATATTTCTCGGATAAACTTTTAGAGTATTCAGTTTTCATTTTTCGATTTGATAAATAAGATGAAAACCATGAAAGTGCAATTCCTCTTATACCATAATGTTCCATTTTTTAAGTAATATTGCATGATTAACAGTATCAAAAGCTTTTGATAGATCCAAATATATTCCGATACAATATTCTTTGTTATCTAATGAATGTCTGACATTTTCAATAAATTCTAGGAGTGCCATGTAAGTTGATCTATGTTTCCGAAAGCCGTACTGGTGTAAATACAATAATTCATATTTCTCTAAAAAAGTAGATACTTTGTCATGCATTATTTTTTCAAACATCTTAGCAAATACACTTAAAATAGATATTGGTCTATAGTTTGTGAATTTATCATGTTCCCCCTTTTTGAAAATTGGAATAACTTTAGCAAGTTTAAGTTCTTCAGGAAAAATACCTGTGGTCATAGAGAGGTTATAAATGAAAGTAAGAGGATCAGCTATATGATCATGTAATACTTTAACAACTTTTGGTTTAATATCAATATATCAATATTAATACAACCTAGACTGGACAACACACATACAAACAGTAGTATCGAAATCTAACAGACAGTGATAGCTTATCCAGTTTTAAATCTTCTGTCAGCAAGCAGCTTAACAATTAAGCTCAGTTGTATTTTAGCAATAGGTCTATGGTACATTCTTAAAATGTGTTATTGTTCTATACAAATGATTATTGAATATGGCCTACAATATGTACTTTTCTACGAACGGGAGCATCGACCTTGGGGAAGATGCCTCCTTAAAGTGTCTCACATATTGGATCAAAACTTGCCATGCAAACTTGTTAGTCTACTTTACTGGCCCCCCCTTGCTGTGATAAGGAACCCAAAACACATTAAAACGTAAACATAAACCAATTAGTCACTTCACTATGAAAGTGGGGGTGTTAGCAAATGAATTGAATTACCCTTTGCATTCGTTTGACTTCACTTCTTAAAGAGAGCTTCGTCTTCACTCTTTCAAACTAAAATAAACCTGTGAACTCACCGCGCCAATCAGTGTTCGTCGACCAAATTTGACCGACGTTCTATATACGGTCATTCCTTCTGACGTCATCGTTGAGCTCGGAATTAACCAATGACATGCGCATATTTAATTAGCACGCATTTGCATATGTTTCTTCAAGCTCGCTGACTGATGAAAGAAAGGTCAGCGCGTAGGTCAGAAGTGATTTATTACACAAACTGTCACCGGTACCCGTCGTATGGGCGGGGCTACTAAACTGTAATATGGTCTCTACTAGGCAGAGTGTACTTTAACTAGACTCTGCGCGCAGGGTAGTATTGAATAATTTTTTTGATGATCTAAATGTTTGTGGTTTATAAAAAAATGTGATATATTTTAGTTAGAAACACATTAATTAATATATTCATTCAAACAGCACTAGAATGCGGGAAGAAAGAGCAATGGTGACAAAATGCAGACAGAATTTCCGTAAGGGTTTCAAACATTTCTGGACACAATCATACATGTACTTCATGTGTACTGTTATTTTTAGTGCTGTATTTATAGATATAATTCCACGTATTAAAATCATATTTTCCAGCAATGACTTCAAATTCGGAACCACACCCATATCCAAACATGTGTAAACATTGACCATGTGCATATAAATTCAGATTTCACGAGCTCTTTCCTATTCGAGTACCTCATACACCCCTGCATGGACTTGAGTTGGATTCGCCTTTTATACGTGAGCCGATACACATCGCAAACGCTGATTGGATAAAGATTGCGAGAATCTTCAAGTGGAGAAGTGTTTCATGATTTCAGTGTACATTTTAAAATGATTTGTTAACCATAGATCTATTTTTTAAATGTTAAGGTTCAAATTGTATTCTATTCAAATTATATCACTGTTAAACTATATCTATCTATAAACTATCTGCTTTAAATGGGCTTATTAGCCTTTTGCGGATTATTGATGTAGATGTAGATGTAAATGTACGTCTCTTTGTACTCTCACAACATACTTTTCTAATGCTATATTGTATATTTCCTAAAGTCTCTCTCACATTCTTTAGTTAATTTTACTATACTATCAATAACTTCAAATACTACTATGTACAGGGTGTTCAAAAAAAAACGCAACCCAATGAAATCGCTATATCTTGGAAAATTCTTATCCAATTTTGTTCATATTTTCAGGAAAGAAAGAAGAGACTGTGTATGTATAGCTCCTGTTGTTAGTTTGTTGTAAAACATGATGAATTGTACACCTGCTCAAAAGGCAGTAGTACATGGAAAATACGAAAAACGCGAATGGAAAATCACTATATCTTGGAAAATACTAATTCAATTATGTTCATTTTTTCAGGAAAAGAAAGAAGATATTGTGTATGTATAGCTCATGTTGTTCGTAAGTTGTAAAACATGATGCATTGGACACCTGCCCAAAAGTCAGTTGTTCTGGGAAAATACGAAAAAGGTGACTGCCACAGCAATAAAACCTAATAACAACTTTCTAACCATAGTGTTTTGGCACTTCAGATTTGGCACAAATTATCCTCATTCAATGCATGGTGAATTTGTGGAGTTTCATCAAAATCACTTCAGGGACTTTACAGTTATGGTCAAAATGCCTTCTGAAGTCTGCCTGAACCAGGGCGTTTGACTGAGATTTGAAAGCATTTTGACCATAACTGTAGTCTCTGAAGTGATTTTAATTTCACTTTAGGGATTTACCATACAGTGAATGCAGATGATTTGTGCCAAATTTAAAGAGCCAAAACACTATGGCTAAGAAGTTATTTAGTTTTTTCGCGGTTGCAGTCATCCCTGACTGGGTTTTTCGTATTTTCCTAGTATAACTGTCATTTGAGCAGGAGTCCAATGCATCATTTTTGACAACTAACCAACTACAGGAGCTATACATACACAGTCTCTTCTTTCTTTCCTGAAAAAATAAACATAATTAAACGAGTATTTTTCAAGATATAGCTATTTCTTTGGGTTGCGTTTTTTTGAACACCCTGTACATACAGTTGTTTTTGTTTTTCTATTATTACAGTCTGTTTGTTTTCCTTATATAATACATTAGCACTCTACTATACCTAGCCCCTAGAAATGCATAAGATACTTTGTTTGTCTAATTTTATTGTTTAGTATATTTTTGAAAGTACCTTATTATTAACATTCCAACAGTCATCCAATAAACCATTAATAAGGAACAGACAATAAAAACAAATACCAAAAAATCATTATCATAAGCCAAATAGGTTGCTCATGAACACCAAATGAAAGGTATAGTAGAGTGATTAGTTGTATTCTAATTTCTAATGTCTATGTTTTGTTCTCTGGTAAGAAATATGTTAAATCCAGTCATGACTTTTATGTCCAGTGCTGGTTTCACATCACATCAGCTCCAAGTAAGACGTTTTCCATGTAGTAGAACACTAGCTCTCTTTCCTCTGAGTACTTGGAGCATTCATATAAGTAGTGATCTACTGCCTACCCTTAATACAGGCAACCTCATCTCTAAATAAATTTAAGACAAGAACACAAATGTGTACAAAATGTCCCCACCTATGGGTGATCCCGTCAAATGGTTATCCTAAAAATGAGTAGACAAGACTTTACCGACACAATTTGAGGATGGAAAATCCAAAATGGCCACCTTAAAATTTACCCAGGATGCCAAAAAATTAGTCAGTTCTAGATTTTCATACTAAGAACCACCCCTGAAAACTTGAAATTGATCCGTCACACAGTTAACCAGAAAACATGTAAACAAGACTTTACATTATTTATAAAGCTACTAAATAGTTAAAGTATGAAAACTGAAAAACACCATTTAATATGATACAAAGTATTATCGCACGTTAACTTTTCTTAAAACATTCAAAATGGCTGACATGACTGAGCTAACAGTTTCAAAACCTAATCAGATATAGAATGAAGTGAGCTGAACAAGATGTTGAAGTTTTAAAAGCAACTGTGAAGCCGTTTTTCTTAAAGTTTGCAGACAAGGATTTTAGCATTTGACTTCAAAATGGCCGACAGGAAGTAGGTATCGAATTAATTTTTTTCATCGACATCTGTATGCACTCATAAGTTATCCCTGAAAATTTGAAGGTGATATCTGTAGCGGTTTTGGAGAAAACTGCCGGACGTATGGACAAACGGACAGACGAACAGACAGATGGACAGACGGACGCGCCTAGGCCAACAATATGGCCCCACACTATGTGGTGGGGACATAATAATATTTTAGCATTCTATGTGTAATTACATAATCTATATGTTCTGAAAAAAATGAGAGGGATATGTGAAGAAATCACAATATGAGAGCATTTTTATCAGAATATATGGATCGCCCCTTGTAGTCCTGGATTGTGATGCTTGAACTTGTATGATGGGGGAGTGGGGGAGGGGAGCATTTGAGATTGTTTCTTTCATGTCGGATTATGGTTTTGGTTAAGGTAATTTCATTTAAGGGAAAGTTCATAGCCTCGTTTTAGATACACAGCTTGAGGCCAGATAACTGTAGGCGAAGATAACAAAAACATGAATGAAGACAGGTGGCTCTGGGTATGTTTCCCCCATTATAGGCGCTAGGAAATTGCTAAATTGAGTTTGTCTATTTTCTCCGAAAAAGGCGTGCTTTTGATCAAGGTCGCCATCTTGGATTTAGAAGTGGGCACCTTTAATTTTCAATTACTAGTTCACCTTGATTTGGCAATTTACGAAGCGCAGGTATCATTTTCTTGGTCTTTGGAACCATATTGATGCGGTGAGCTAATTTCATTTCACATTTTTAGGCCAGAGGTGGCCAGGCAGAATTTAATTGTCAGCTGATTTTAGTATTTGTGAAATCTGTGCCCATACATACTCTGGAGGGTTGCAGTCTGACTTATTTTTAGTGCAAATTAATCTTTCAAAATCTGAGTCTATTTTGGCCATTTAATTGAGCTTTTGACTTTGAGAGTTTCTGCCAGTTTTCATTCTTATTTTGCTGCTAAGCGCTCATTTGAGTTCAGGGATATTTTGCAACCTCAGAGCATAGTATTATTACTGCTCGTTGAGACTCAGGGTAATCTCAGAACAGTTGAGCGCCATATTAAACAGAGATCTTATAATATTTGCCTCATATTTTCTTAGAATCTCAAAAAGCTGAATGTAAAACTTTTGATAAACTTATTTTGGAACGAGATCTGAATTCATGACCATATAAGGTAATTTTCTGAACACAGCATTACTACGTTTTATTAAAGATTAAAACGCCATATTTGATTCACTTGCATAACCATTACATATTGTGCCTTCGAAACTTGATTATTATATGAACTGGTGAAAGATTTTTCTACTGCTGATACTTTTATAGCTTTTGCATTAAGTAACCAGGTGCTCCAGGCGCTCCATCAGGAGCTGGAATTTTGTGTCATTTATTTTCTAGGGGCGATTAACTGTTCAACCCATAGCGCCTTGATATTGCCTTCAAAGGCTAGATTTTTGTACTTTCATTTTTTTAGGCGCTCTGATCTCAGCTCTGTGTAACAGTGTATATTTATAACTTTATAGTTCCATAGTTGGTATTTTGCAACTAGTCAGATTCATTATTGTCTCACAGTCAGTGAAAAAGTAATTTTGATACAAGTATATTTTATTTATTTTTGTACCATACAAGAGAATATTTACATACAATTAAACAATCATCTTAAGAACCTGCTTATTTTGTTGTGTTATAGTTTGTTATTGAGCTGATTAAGATTAAATCCACAGTAAACTTCCCTTAGATTAAAGGGGTGTCGACTTTTGGCTTGCAACCGAAGAAACCTCAAGAAAAGCCGGAGACTGCCGAAGATTTTATTTGCAAACGATGTTGGCCGAAGGTACAATGAATGTGAAGAGGACGTCTCCAACTGGTCAAAAAGAGAGGCTCGGCATTCTCCGTTAGATTGAATCGGCAAAATTCGGTTGCATGGCTACCTTCGGCTGCATGGCCCAACCTCGATTGAATGGAAAAGATGCTGTCCCTAGATTAAAGCCATTTCAGTCATCTTCACATTTTACTGGGTTCCCTGATTCCTTCATATAGCTATTTGTTCAATTAGTAATTTTAGCTTTTAATTCCATTTAAAGGGGGCAGCACAGCATAGTTAGCTTTTGATACTACATTTATTAGTTTCCTTTTCTCCATACATCCTTTTACTTTACATTTTTTACTTAAGGGGGCAGCACCTTACTGAATCATTTATAAACAATACAGCTTCATTCATCCCATCTTTTCGTAACTTACGCCAACCGTTCATTTCACTCTACAATAACGTAATTTATACAGGGTTAACTTTGTGAATTGTTGGTTGTGCTTCATTCCCTTGTACGTAGCAGTTTTGGGAGACTGTCCTGAGCTGTTACAATGTCATTTGAAGTCAGTGGGATTATTATAATGCCCATAGATTGTCAAATAAAGAAGGTGTGACTCAGTGTTAGCTTGTATTCGCAAATGCAACTATAGCCTGTCAGCTACCAGATTAACCTAATATTTTATAGGTAACTTATTTAAATATGAATTGTACATGCCACTATTCCATTCATATCTAAATGAATTGGTCATAAAATAGTAAGTCAATCCGGTAGTCAACAGGTGTTAGTTGCATTCGCAAATACAAGGTTAGACAGCAGGGGTTTAATCTCTTAATCCTTTCACTCCAAGTCACACCAGGATTATGGTGTGACTTGGTTAGTAATAAAATTATCTTTTACACCAAATAACATCATAAATGTCCCATTTACACCATACCCTGATTACTAGTGTATGACATTATTTACCTTACAGAATTCAGCTCTTCTGTTTTCTATGACTTCCTGCATATGTTTAACTTTTAACCCTGTCATCACGTGACACCATGTGCTATCTGGGCGTTGCCATATTGGATATAATAAAATAAGTTGATTTGAAAAGGTACGTCTGTTTTTATCTTACATGAACAACGTACTTTAGACTACAGGAATTTGCACAACTCTTATTGATAAATTATGCTTGTCAAAGAGAAATATCTGTTCAGCAAACAAAGCAAGTGTTATATGTATTTTCTAACGATTGAACGAAGTGAATAAGTTCAAAAATGATTTAATGCTGAAGTGTTATGACACTTTTAATTTGGCACTAAATACGATACCAAGGCTCGAATTTGTTTGTTGGGTGTACTGTCGTGTGATTGGTTATGGTTTGTTCAGGTAAATTGGTCACTTAGGCTTCTTATGCGGACCAGATAGGTTGTTCACTTAATTTACCAGATATTTTATTTATTTTAAGGTAAATATTTGTTAATGTAAGAAAACCATTAGAAGGCATTTGTTAAATACAGTTTAATATATTTCAATATTTTACATTAGAGCTTTGGAGCCTACACCATCGTCAGTTTCAGCTTAGGATGTAGGTAGACCTCCTATCTAAATACAATAGATTAGGTACTTCTTACACTTGGTGAGAAGGGTCTCCGTGAAACTGACAAAAGTTCAAAACAACTTAGACATGTTATTCATTATCTTATTTTATCAAAGTAATCTTGAAACTTGAAAAGGGGACAGGCCATTAAGAGGCCATTCTCTGACTTAATCATTTTTTCAAAAGTGTGAAAATAAAAAACCTCATGAAAAGTTCTTAAAATATTCTAAATAATAAGTTGAATATTTATATTTAATGATGGCACGAGCAAAAGTCTGAAAATTAACATGGAATGAGGGGTTCTGACGGATGCAAAAGATGGTAGATTTGTGATGAAGAAATAGATGTTTTTGCAGTAACAACACAATTACCTCCACTGTGCAAAATGTGCGGTATCTCTCGTTTGATTTCAAGAGATTTGGACAAATAGTTTGTATATATCTCTAGAATCCCCCAAAATATAGTTAGATATGATATCTCTGATACGGACAAATTTGCGTATTGAACCAGTTCTACTTAACTATTTGATGGTATGCCACAGAATAGGCCCCATATTATACCCGTGGTAATCAGGAGATTTGCTAACTATATTATACATCTTCTATCTATACTCTTAAAACATTGACTATACTTTACTATTCATACAATATCGGACATGAAGAACAGGAGATACGCTGCCTATTCTGTGCTAAAATCAGCAGATATCAGCTTATATCAGGAGATACTCTCATATCAGACTTCCCAAAACAGGAGATACGGTAACTATACGAAATGACGTCATCAAGTCTCATTATTTGCGACGCTAATTAGGTAACATCACTTATCTGGCTTATTAACAATTACTCCGGTAGTTAAGTCATTAAATAAACAAATAGGGAGAATCTGAACCATATTCTTTATTTCTTGTTTATCAATAAAGTTTAATGTTAATAAAATAAAGAACCATAATTTTAGCACTTAGGTTTACAGCATTCTTCGGTACATAATGTAATGTTAATAACAATTTATTATTGAATAATTAATCCGTATGTTAGGGTTAATAGATTAATCTCTACAGCTGATGGCTCTTAATTCAAAAAAAAAAAAAAATTCAAAATAAGTTTTTTCATATATATTTGATTGTATAATGTCCATCATGTTATGATTAACATTGTGTTAAATATTTGATTCAATCAATAAATTAAAAATCATTGTAAAGTTGATTTTTGAATTTTTAATTAATTAGTTTTCCTCACATTTTTATTCTAATGTTTGTCTGTCACACTAAGTTTATAGCAAACAACATTTAAATCCCCCTCACACTCAGGTACAAACAACCATTCACTTTGTCAACCAAAACAACAGTCATGATACAGAACTGCTCAATATTCAATAAACACATTATGCATTTTATACAGACCCGATATATTTCTCCGATTTCTTCTGACAAATCTCTGATAATAAATTAGGAAACATGCATTAAGTTTGCATGATGCAAGTGGTGTTAAGCCATGCTAAAACAAAATTAAAACTTGAATTCTCTCACATTTTACAATTTATTTTTTCTGTTTTCAATATAAATATCTGAGATATAAACCAGGGATATAAACAACAGATTAGTCCATGATGTAATACATTTGTTTCTACTACAATTGGACCATTTCTTTTTATTACAGCTAGTTTTATTTACCTTTCTTTGTTTTCGATTTTCAAATATATATATTCAAAAGGTGCGAGATTCGGTATGTTTAATTGTTTGATAATGAAGATAAAGAAGCGGGTTCATTTTACATCAATTCCTAATGTTTCATCTGACAAAGCGATGCTTACACTTTGAGAAAATTGGAGCATGGAAAACAAACTGATGTAAATAACATATTGGACGTACAGTACATATGTATATCAGAGCAATATGATAAGTAAAACTTTAATCCCCAATTATTCAATTTCTTTAATATGAGTTTCGTTGACACTGATAACTAATCCGTTTGTTTGTGGTAATGGATTAATTTCCTACAGCCAACAGTTCTAAGTTCCACAAAAATAATTTGAAAACTAAGTTTTTCATAATTATTTGATTGCATAATGTCCCTAATGTTATGATTAACATTGTGTTAAAATTTGGATTTAATTGATTGACTCAACGGAAAGCTAATTTTTAATTAATGGGTTTCCTGACATTTTTACTCCATTGTTTCTCTGCCACATTACACAGGCACAAACAACCACCTGTATTCACTTTGCAAACCACAAAAATAGTCTTGACACAGAACTGCTCAAATTTTAGCTAAATACATTGCGCATTTTAAACATGCCCATACCTAACAAGTAACGATTCCCTCCCCTTGGCCAACAATTCTTTCTAAATCATGCAGATTTTCGCCGTTCACATACATGTATTGATGTCAGAGCAATAGATTAATAGTTTAATCCCCAAGTTATTTTCAATTTCTATGAAATGAGTTTTGTTCACTGGTAACTAATCTGTTTGTTAGAGTCAATGGATTAATATCTAGAGCCGATTGTTTTTAATTCCACAAAAATAATAATTTGCAAATTAAGTTTTTCATATTTATTTGATTGTTTATTGTCCCTCATTCTATGATTAACATTGTGTTAAAATTTGAATTGAATCGATTAACTCATTGGAAAGTTAATTTTTTGATTTTTAATTGATGACTTTCTTAGCATTTTTACTCCATTGTTAACATTAATTTAAATCAAGCTAAATTTCTTTCTTTCTTCTTAAATATTTATTTTGTAAATATTTTTCAAATAGAAATAGAACAATCAAAATAATGTGTGACATTGGTAAATAACTGAGATGAGAAGGCCAGTAGAACGGTTGATCCTATTAACTGCCATGCAGTACATTCTTTGTTTTGTTAAGTAATTAACCAGATCGATTGTACATCAAGTTGGACGAGAATAATCGCGTATAATATTTTTTAGAACCTAAATAATACAATGTAATTTGACATTTTCGGTTTAGATTGGAAAATACTAGAAAATAATATTTTTTTTAATAGAAAAAATTCTAAATAAACTACAACCATCAGTTTGGATTGATAAATATGACCAAATAATATTTTGGAAAGACAGAATAAATATAAATTGGCGCAAATAATTCTAAAATACTGAATGGAAATATTATCACGCATCGTTTTACACAAATATCCGAAAATAAAACATCTTTTAATATATTATTTATCGATTTCATCAAGTGTTAATGATAAAAATCATCTCTATCAATACTAAATCTGACTAAATAATGTGTATTAAGTGAATCTATCAATTTTATTTTGTTTGTTTAATTACTTAACACTGACAGTGCATTGTCAATCATTAATAAGCCAGATAAGTTAAAGAAATAAGAAACGATGACGTCATTTCGTATAGTTAGCGTATCTTCTGTTTTTAGAGCTCTGATTTAATAGTATATCCTGAAATAGGCCAGGAGAAGCTGTTTTCCATAGAATCGGCGGGTATGTCTGGTTCTATAGGTCCAATAGAGTGGTATGCAAACTATTTGTTAGCCTAGATATATGACGCAGCCTATATTAGCTCATATTTCGTAGAGTTGAAAATAGTACTAACTATACTAGTTGTCCGCCAAATCTCTTGGTATAGGTTGTGTCTCTACAACACAGGAGATACGGGAGATATTTCACACTATGACAGTTGATATTAGAGTATAGTTAACAGGAGATTCTATTACTATATAGCCTTTTTGGCACAGTGCTCGAAGTTATCGGTTATGAGAGGCTGAGGACTAAACTTGCCATAATTTTCAATCTCAGATTAACAGTAGTATCTAACTTCAGCTGGACAGCCACTCAAAATGTATATATAGCCCATAAAATACATTTTTCTCAATTGAAGTCACTATTTATGTTTTTAGCCTCATAGGATAGGAGGTACATGAACATGCTAATTTTACCTAGATCACAAGCCTTACCACAAATATAAAATATATAGGAATAGAGTTGATATGTGTGAGAACCTTAAACTTCCCATATTATTGGGGATGGGACTTGTGATTCATGTGTATTTCTAACTTCTTCACATGTTCATGGATCTAAAATTGTGGCAGCCATCTTGAATTTGTCATATATGTGGACATGGTTTTGGTTGTGCTGAATTTGTTTAAAAATAACATTTTTTGTATACCTTCGACAAGTGAGATAGGCATTTGAAATTAAATACAGATAGTATACTTGACATTTAATGCAGTAAACGGTAATACAATTCAGTATTACATAATAAGTGAGTCCAGACAAAAAGTTGTTATTGTGTTAGTTTGACTGGGCATAAATTACACTCATTGGCCTTGGTTTTCTTAATTGGCTTGGATAAAATGTTGTTCTATTTATTCAGAAAAGGAGTATACATGTAGTTCACATTCATTCCATCCTCTTGTAGAAATGAATCTCATGTTAGCTTCCATGTCATGACTGAGTTTGGGTTCCCCTTCTAGAGAAAAAATATATTCCCTCTTGAAGTATCATATTGACCATTGCTATACACTCCATATTTAATCCTCCCTGTAAATAACATTGATATGACATCGCTGATCTGGGGTTTGGGTAATGTGGGACATGAGTTGCTACTTTTTCAATCTCTTATTCAATATAATATTTTTTCCTTAAACCCTCATATTTAATATTTTTGGAGTGGTAATTCAATTATTTACCTATTTTTATTCTTTATCCATTAGTTGAGCTCTGTTCCGCTCTGTTAGGTAACATGAAAACATATTTATGAACTTTTGCAAATGCGTGGAAAAAGTGATATCTGTGGAATACGGAAAATATTTCACAGATATCACCTTTTGCCAGGGATTTGAAAACTACCACCAATATGATGTCTTTTGTTACATAGTGATTTCATGACATCAAGGGGATGAATGAATGAATGGATGTTGTTTTGATTGTTTTGTTTAGTTTAATAGGTGAACTATGGGATAATTAGAACATCCTATGAATTTTCGTGATGTCGTGTTAATCCACTCATTGATATCAATATCTGCGCTAATCTGCTATGCTAACTTGGCAAGATATTGATATCAACTCGGAGATAAAGATGAAATCATTTAAAATCATATGATATCCTATACATATCCTTTACTGTGCCACAACTTTCTCATATGTTATATTTTGGCACAGGCCATCATTTGTTTTCCTTGAATTCATGCTTTTGTTCCTCGTTTTAGATATGAGAGGAAATCTTTGATTTTCCTTGTATTTATGTTGCTTAAATGTTGCCCTGTGATGTTGATTAAAGTTAATAGTAATCCACTACAGTCACAGTCGAAATGTACCCATTGCTAGCCCAGAACCTACCAAAATAGCATTTGCATTTTGCCAATATTGCCCTATGTGCTTTTCCATGAAAATAGTTTTAATCGTATCTTTTCTTCAGTATTTCATACATTACATTTTAATACATTTAAATTGGTTTATACATATATATATTATTTAAGTTTAAGTTATTGTTGATATATAGTGATGAAACTTTTGATATGTTTTAATTGAGAAAAACAAGCTTAACATTTAAAAAAAGTGCCAAGGTGGGATCCTAATTCATAATTTTCCAGAAAGCTGGATTCATATTTAACAATCATGGGGACTTCACTTGAAATAAAACACATTGTTTTAATAATAAACAGATGTATTTATGGCCAGGAAGTACTCATGGTGAAAGATATATTGCCGTTTAAAATCTTAAAATCTTAATCTCTTAAGTGTCAATTGGGAAAATAAGAATAATTTCCTCAATATGACAATATTCAGTGCTGTATGTGTATACATACATGTCTTTTTCAAAATGGTTGCCAATCAACAACAAGCTTAATAGTTTGTTGGTTGGTTTGGTGGAAGACTCGGTAAACAGAGACATCGTCCATGATTTGGTCAGGGGAGATGAAGAGGGTTCTGCAATACTGTCATAATATATAGCCCTTGAAATCTATTCCGATCTTCAAGATTTTCTCTCGCCAGAAGGTTTCTGGCCCTTTCTAACTATATGTATATATGTATGTCTCTCCTGCGTGGTTTCTATCTATCACATTTCTCTCTAATGTATGTTTCATTGCAACAACTAAAGTTGCACTACCATTGCAGATGCATGTTTATTGCAAGTTATTAAAGAGACTCTCTGGTGAATTTGAGTAAAAAGAACATTGTAAGATAAATACACATTTGCTGTGTAAAGGCGAAAACGATAATGTTTAAAGCTCATAATCCAATAAACTAAATGCGAGTAGTAACACTCTTCATTTTTGTCATTAGAAATTCAAAATTCAGTCTAACTGATGTTGAATTTGGAATCGACATGAAAAAATACATCAAGAAATGTGATTTTCAAATGAGTCCATCAACTTTAAAATTGATTTTTCTTCGAAAATGTGACATTTAGGTCAGGGAGATCCCTCATAGTCCCCATGTTGTAAAACACAAAAAGTGAAATATCTTTTCTTGTGTTTTGCAGATAATATTTTCTTTTACTGGAGATATTTTAATTTGTACAACTATCAGATACAAAAGAGTAATATGAAATGTGAACCACTAAAAATTAATATTCAAGTTTAATGGAACTTGGTTATACCTTGCAATGTTATTTCACCCGAATTAACAACCTGGCGGGGAAAATGGTAACTACCTACTTGCAACTGATTAATTAAATATATTTTACATTCCCAAAATTTTGAAGCCAATTTTATGAAATATTATGCCCAGAAGCAAAGAAACTTATAGCAAAGATACATTTTTGTTTGCAAAGATACAATCTCTTTGTTAGCAAAGGTACAATCTTTGTTAGCAAAGATACAATCTTTGTTATATTTTAAGATGCATATATTTCCAATATAAAGTGAAAACTATAATCTCACAAGACCTAAAATGAAATTGATTCTCGTACTTCATAAATATAAAATTTTGGCACCAATCGTATCAGTGTAGCATGCACTGATGTAAAGATATCATCATTGCTATATTTCTGGTGGCCATTTTTAGAAATACATAATTTCTGGCAGCCATTTTGAAAAATGCATATATTTTGAATCTAAAGTGCAAGTCTCGAAAAAAGTACAAGACTCAAAACCTAATTAAATATAGATTCTACAACTACATTAATGTATTTTTGACACCAATCTTATAGTTGTAGCATGCACAGAAACAAAGCTATTGTCTCTGATGTATTTTTGGTGGCCATTTTGAAAAATGTGTATATTTACAATATAAAGCGCCATCTAGGTTGTGTCTTTGGATAAATTTGTTTCTATTGCCCTAAGGTATTTCCATGCCAAAGGGGACATTCTGTAAGGTAAGATATCTAAATTTGTAAGTATTCGTAAGGTATGATATCGTTGTTATATTTCTGGCATTCATTTTGAAAAACGCGTATATTTTGAATATAAAGTGGAAGTTCTTAATTTTCAAGACTCGTGATCTTATAACATAGATTCTGCGAATACATCACTGTATTTTATGACATCAATCTTATAGTTGTAGCATGCACAGAAGCAAAGATATTGTCTCTGATGTATTTTTGGTAGCCATTTTGAAAAATGTGTATATTTCCAATATAAAGCACCATCAAGCTTGTGTCTTTGGATAAATTTATTTCTTTTGCCCTAAGGTACTTCCATGCCAAATGGGACATTTGCATCATACAATGAAGTCCAAATGTAGTTAACCCATCTACTATGTAGGGACCGGGGGTTCGAACGAACGGTCAGGGTTTCCCAAAAAATATTTGCTGAAAAATTCATTGCAATAACCAGAAACATTCATTCAATTTATATGATCATAATAAAGTTACACTTCTCTCCAAAAGTTTGGCAACCTTAGGCACGGAGTAGGAATCCCTAATTTTTGGAAGACCCCTGATCATCATATACATTATGCAAAGAAATATCAATAATCTCGCACAATATATTTCCTAACTTAAAAGCTGCTTCATCTGCGGTGAAATAAACCAACTGTCTTAATACTGATAAAACATATTTTCTTTCAAATCTATGCGCCTCCGTTTTGTTTTATTTCAAACAAAAATTCTTGCCTGGAGCAATTAATTATTAAATAATTTTGAAACATTTTGAAATGAGTTATTATATAAAGCATACATGTATGTATCACTTCGATTCCTTATATTTTTGAGAATGAAATTGTCCAAAAATGAAAAAATACAATTTTCTGAAATTGTCTGGATTTCTTTCATACATATTAATACAATAGTATGTAAAATCAACCCTTTTATCAATAATCTTGTCAAATTTGATGAACTGATTGCTTATTAGGTAAATTCTAATGTTCCATGTATTGAACTCTCCATCTACAAAAAAAATCATAAAAATTCCTTCAAAATTGAGATAGTTATTCCCAAACTAAGGAGGTGATGTTTCTGGGGTCACCCTGTACAGGAAATCCATTTGAAGCCCCTCCTACCTTAGAAATGAATGAATGTGAATCGCTCAACAATAAGAACTTTTGGAGATTAAATAAAGCCCTGATATCTAAATAGAATTATATACAAAATATGTATATTCACCTGAAATATGAGAGGATTAGTCTTGCACAAGTTTCAAATCGTGTGTCCAAAAAGGATTTGACAGCATTCTTTAATAAAATAATAAGAGTTCATTTTTCGAAACAAAGTCTTTAATGATTCACAAATTCTTCTAAAATGTTTTCATTTCTCAAAACAATTCTCGACATTATTAATAATAAAAAACAGCGAACGTTGAAAGGGAATGGAATGCTTGATTTTGTACCTTTATAAGTCTTTATTTTTATTACATTTATTAAATACTGTAATCATATATTATCTCCACGATTGGAGGGGCAATAAATATAATAATAATAACTAGACTTTGGAAATTGAAAAAGTTCAATTTCAGACTCCAGATTTAGATTTTTTAAGCTGAGTCATCCACAATAAGCCGATGGATTGATAGGAGGAAGGATAGGACAGAATAGGAAGGAAGGATAGGATAGAATAGGAAGAAAGGATAGGATAGTATAGGGTATGAAGGATAGAATAGGATACGATAGAATCCGAAGAAAGAATAAGATAGGACAGAATAGGAAGGATAGGATAGGATAGGAAGGATAGGAAAGAAGGATAGGATTGGATAGGATAGGTGGGATGGATATAGCCGAGTATTCCAGAATAAGCCAAGTCATCCAGAATAAGCTGAGTCATCCAGAATAAGCCGAGTCATCCATAATAAGCCGATGGATGGATGGATTGATGGATGAATGGATGGATTGATAGGATAGGAAGGATAGGACAGAATAGGAAGAAAGGATAGGATAGTATAGGATAGGAAGGATAGAATAGTATACGATAGAATCCGAAGAAAGAATAAGATAGGACAGAATAGGAAGGGTAGGATAGGATAGGAAGGAAGGATAGGATAAGAAGGATAGGAAAGAAGGATAGGATTGGATAGGATAGGTGGGATGGATATTATAGTCGAGTCATCCAAAATAGCCAAGTCATCCAGAATAGGCTGAGTCATCCAGAATAAGCCGAGTCATCCAGAATGAGCCGATGGATGGATGGATTGATGGATGAATGGATGAATTCATAGGATAGGAAGGATAGGACAGAATAGGAAGAAAGGATATGATAGTATAGGATAGGATAGGATAGGAAGGATAGAATAGGATATGATAGAATCCGAAGAAAGAATAAGATAGGACAGAATAGGAAGGATGGGATAGGAAGGAAGGAAGGAAGGAAGGAAGGAAGGATAGGATAGGAAGGATAGGAAAGAAGGATAGGATTGAATAGGATAGGTGGGATGGATATAGCCGAGTCGTCCAGAATAAGTCAAGTCGTCCAGTCCTATCCCTCTTTCCTATCCTTCTTATCCTATCCTTCCTTCCAGAATAGGAAGGGAGGATAGGATAGAATAGGAAGAAACAATAGGATAGTATAGGATAGGAAGGAAGGATAGGATAGGAAGGATAGGAAAGAAGGATAGGATTGGATAGGATATAGGATAGGATATAGGATAGGATATAGGATAGATATAGGATAGGATATAGGATAGGATATAGAATAGGAAGGAAGGATATGATAGGAAGGAAGGATAGATAGGAAGGATATGATCAGACAGGATAGGAAGGAAGGATGGATGACTTTCTATAAGGATATCATCAGATCGATTTTTCAAAACGCCATAACTTTCGAACCGGAAGTCGGATCAAAACTTGGTTTGCAGATTCGGATTCCTGAGTAAATTCTACCCTTAATTCATAACTCATATGTTAAATTTGGAGAACTTTTCATTTTGACCTACTTTCTGGACGCCATATTTCAAAATCGGTAAGCGTAATCAAAAATCTAATGTCATATCTTTGCTTTGGCTTTTTCTAAGCTACATGATGAAAAAAAGATTTAGGAAAATGTAAGATTTGACCTAGTTCTTGACCTTTGACCTAGATAAAAATTTGACCCAATTTCCGAGGAACTAGATACTGGACATAAATTGACTGAATAATGATCTTTATTGGAAGCCTTATGGTTATCGAGAAAACTGGGAAAGAATTATAAAGAATAATAAATAAGAATACTGACAAAAACAATAGACTCCAGATTGACATCTGTAGTCTAATAATAACATAACAAAAAATTGTTTCAATCTTAGAATATTTCAGGCTTATGTCATTCCTTTTCATGTCTATTTTCTGAAAATCCCCATAGTGTAGGTCAATTGTTCATGTTACTTAGAAATTTGTCAACCCCATAGATCTGATTCTGCCTTTAAGAGCAGATTATTTCTTATTTTCAATTCAAAGAATAATCATTTATGTTCGGTTGAGTGTAATGAATTAGAACATAAATATTTTCTATTGTGTACTTGTAAACTCGGTTACCAATCAGATTGGCGTGTAGTTTCATGCATGTGTTTGTTTCTGAGTGAGCGAGTTGTATTGTTATTGTGGTAGATTGCTGGATATTTAGGATCATTCTGGCTTTGGTCGCCTATGCATGAACACTTCACATACAGTTCAATAAACACACAACATGGATCAGCCTGCCACGTTAAAAAACGTGACAGATATTATTTCCTCAGAATTCAACAAGTTTTCGAGAGCTCTTAGAGAAGATAATGAGGAGACAAACACACAACTTCTAAAGAAATTCAAGCAAGGCGATTTCAACTTCAAGAGAAAGGGTAACAAAGTGCAGTATGAATTTAATTCGAAACTAAAAGAACGCTTTGATACTTCCCAGAATCTGTTGGAACGTGCTGCTAAGGTGGAATCCGTTGAAAAGCAAGACGAACTGATTATGAAAACGCACGAAACGCTTCAAGAAGGCATCGCGGCAGTTTCGGCAGAGAAGACTATCAACGAGACGCGGCATGGGGAAACCAATTCCAACCAGGGAATTTCTACGGTGGACCGACCTACGGGAACCGGGGCTACGGCTGTCGCGGAAATTATTTTGCCAACAACATCAGCCAACGTGGTAGAGGTCACTTCAAGCCAGGCGGCTGCTGGGTCTGCGGGGACCTTTCGCACTGGGCAGATTCCTGTACAAAGAAGACAAGTACCGACGTTGCATCTCGATAGACCCCACACTTCTGGTCAGGGAGCTATAGACAAGTTAAGTAGCTCAAATGATATTTTGAATTCACTGGGAAACAAAGTAAATGTAAAAGGCAGTTTAAAGAGGCATTTCAGTTTCTGGCAAAGCATTAACACAAATAGTTATGTACTTGACATAATAGCTAATGGCTATAAAATTCCATTTGAACAAATTCCACCTAGAGCTATTTTGAATAACAACAAATCTGCAATTGAAAATTCCGATTTTGTAGTAAAAGAAATACAGGCACTAGAAATTCTGGGTTGTATAAAAGAAGTTGATGAGATTCCATGGGTTGTTAATCCTTTGACGGTTGCGGAAAATTCATCTGGCAAGAAACGTTTGGTTTTAGATATGAGACATCCGAATGAGTACATTTTAAAATCTAGTGTGAAATATGAAGATTTGTCAACTGCTAAAAATTATTTGAAAAAAGGATCAAAATTAATATCCTTTGACGTCACTTCCGGTTACCATCACATCGATATTTGCGAACCTCATCAAACTTTTTTAGGGTTTTCGTGGAACATGTTAGGTGTACAAAAGTTCTACGTTTTCACTGTATTGCCTTTTGGAATCAGTACTGGAGGTTTAGTATTCACCAAAGTTTTCAAAAGTCTTGTCACTCATTGGAGGTCAAAAGGTCTCAAGGTCATTCTCTATTTAGATGATGCTCTAAACGTTTCTGACAGTACTAAACAATCAAAACTGGACGCCGCTCTTTTGAGGTCGGATTTGAACAGTGCAGGATATGTCATTAATGAGAAAAAGTCAGAGTTCAATCCACAGGGATCCTTGACTTGGTTGGGTTTTGTTCTAGATATGAACCAAGGCAAAATTTTCGTTCCAGATTCAAAAATTGAACATTTGAAGAATTTGGTCATCCTTACGTTGAAACAGAAAAAGGTTACTTATAGACAAATAGCATCAATTGTCGGAAAAATCATTTCAATGGGACATGGTTTAGGGAAGATAACTTTGCTAATGACTAGGTATCTCAGCATGAAAACTGCTGGAATTTCAAATTGGGATCAATATACAGTGCTATCAGATTTTGATCGAACAGAATTAACATTTTGGTTATCAAACATACATGTATACAACGGTGTCGATTTGATAGAATGTCACGCTCCAGAACGATTTGTATATTCTGACGCTTCTGAAAGCGCAGCGGCCGGTTATATAATTGAGCATGGCGAACTCAAAAATCAATCTATCAGTTATCAAGCGTGGACGGATTCAGAAAAGGTAAAAAGTTCAACTTGGAGAGAATTAAAGGCAGTAGAAATTGTTCTAAGTTCTTTCAAAAGTGAGCTTATTGACAAGTCCGTTTCTTGGTCTACAGACAATCAAAATGTGTGCAGAATTACAAGTAAAGGAAGCATGGTCACTGAGCTTCAGGCTTTGGCAATTAGAATTTTTGAATTTTGTAGGAAGTTCAAAATAGACTTGAATTTTTACTGGATTCCAAGAAAGTTCAATCAAAGAGCAGACGATTTGAGCAAAATGATCGATCCAGATGATTGGATGGTGTGTACATCTATTTTCAAATTTCTGAATCAAAGATATGGGCCTCATTCCATTGATCGTTTCGCTAGCGTAGATAATACAAAACTACCACGTTTTAATTCCAAATTCGCCCAACCCTCTACCGAAGGGGTAGATGCTTTCAGTTTCAACTGGGAAAATGAAAACAATTGGCTTGTTCCACCTATTCAACTTGTAGGGCGGGTAGTCGATCATTTGATAGCTTGTAAGGCTATGGGAACGCTCATCGTACCAAAGTCGACATCGTCTTATTTCTGGCCTCTCATTTTTAAAGATGGGAATTTTGCTCCAACTGTGGTAGATCAAATAGAGTTTTGCAATCCCATGAATATTTTTCAACAAGGACGTTTTCTTAACACTGTGTTTGGAACGAAAAAGTTAAAATCACATGTTCTGGCCTTGAGGTTAAATGGAAAGTTGGGCACATCATATTAAGCGTTTTAAAGATAGCATTGAAAGTCTTTATTGATTTTTAAACAACATATTTACTGAATTTACAGATATATCTTGATTTCATAGATCTCAATTGTAAAAGTATATTGATAGCCACTGAGAGTTACATTGATAGCCACCGAGAGCTTATAATGATAGCCACTGAGGAGCTTGAATAGATAACGGATGAGATTTTATAATGATAGCCACTGAGAGCTTATATTGATAGCCACTGAGAGCTTATATTGATAGCCACTGAGAGCTTATATTGATAGCCACCGAGGAGCTTATAAATATATAGCCACTAAGGGTTTGTAAATATAGCCACTGAGAGCTTATATTAATAGCCACTGAGAGCATATAATAAATGTAAATCAGAATTCAATTGTATTACTAACGATTACTAGATATTGATAAGAACATAATACATTGATTGCTAATATGAGATTATTTTTAATACCATAGTGATTGCCACTGAGAGCAAAATTTGATAGCCACTGAGAATATATGTTGAATGCTACAAAAATCATATTTAGAATATTCCTGAGTGCTTATAAAATCAGACTGCCACTGGAATACTGTTTCAATTCTCAGTAAGAGTATATTTATAATTATACTAAGAATATATTTAAAAATCATTGATAATTATTCAAATTAAATTAAATATATACATTGACTTACAAAATGTCAACTTAAATTGAAATGTTTTATTAGAATTATATGAATGAACATCGTTTTACAGTGATTGATGCAGAGGGATCGGCAGCATTCTGGCTTTAAACATAATTTTATTTTTTAGAGATTCCGCAGGTTCTCATGAGAGGAGTTTTTGTCAATTGATTTATTTATTAGAAATACAATATGGTTCCAGGGTTATTAAACATGGTATGCTACAATTCGACAATGTGAAAGACACTCGCCTCAAATCTTTGTCGTCGGATCTTATGACTGAAATCACAAAACATGGGAAAAGCGAAAATACAATTAAGAAGTACAGTTTTTATTTCGAAAAATGGACTAAGTGGACCAACAGTTTCGATGAAGTAAACGATCTACCAGCCAACTCAAAGTTCGTAGCCATTTTCCTGTTATCACAGTTACAAAGTGGTTCATCATATAACGTTCTGTATGCTCTTAAATCTGGAATAAGCTGGGCTCACACATCTGCCGGTTTAGAGGACCCCTGTCAGTCTTACTTAGTTCGAAACATTCTAGATGCAGCTAAGAGACAAGCGAGTAAACCAGTTGTTAAAAAAGAACCTTTCACAGCGGATATGTTGCATAAACTGGTCGATTCTTTATCAGATCAAAGTTCCCTCAAAGAATTAAGAAATGTGACAATTTGCGTTTTGGGATTCGCAGGTTTTTTGCGTTACAGTGAATTAGCTCAGATCACTTTTGGTGACATTTCCTTTAGTGAATTTCATTTTACTATAAATATTCCGTCTTCCAAGACTGATGTATACAGAGAAGGGAATTCAGTTGTTGTTGCCAAAACTGGCAATCCTACTTGTCCTTACGCTCTTTTACAACGTTATCTAAAAGCGTTGAACTCAAAAAATGAGCTGTCAAAAGAGTGCTTTATATTCAGGGCACTGTCATTTAAGCCACTTCAAAGAGCTTTTGTTGCAAGAACAGAAAACAAACAATTTTCGTATACAACAGTCAGGGAAATTGTCCGTAGTATGTTAAAGACCATTGGTCTTGATCCAAATTTATTTGGCGTTCATTCGTAACGTTCAGGCGGTGCAACTGCTGCAGCCAATGGTTCTGTTTTAGATCGTAATTTTAAACGTCATGGACGTTGGAAATCAGAATCCGCCAAAGATGGTTACGTTAAAGACGATTTAATACACAAATTAGGTGTAACATTGAACTTGGGTTTATAAATAAACAAAATATCATAAATAGCATAACTTCTTTCTCTAGTTTTTCTGTAAAGCGACCGCAAGCCATTTGCTTATTCTTAAGATGATGTCATGTTATTTTGTAACGAGGTGTAAAGTATGGTATAGAATAATCATTTATGTTCGGTTGAGTGTAATGAATTAGAACATAAATATTTTCTATTGTGTACTTGTAAACTCGGTTACCAATCAGATTGGCGTGTAGTTTCATGCATGTGTTTGTTTCTGAGTGAGCGAGTTGTATTGTTATTGTGGTAGATTGCTGGATATTTAGGATCATTCTGGCTTTGGTCGCCTATGCATGAACACTTCACAGAATAAAACTGTTAACAAATGCCGATAGGTGGAGGGGTAATTCCATACCTTTCCTAATTGTTAGGTTTTAATGGTGTGAAGGACCCCAAAATCAATCGGTATTTTCATTTTTCATAAACTATGTAAGAATATTCACACCCTTTTTGGTAAATATAAATCCGATGCAACAATCTGTGTTATATAAAAATTGTACAACACTTTTCTCAAATAAACTTAACTGTTTTGTGCATTCCATTTATACATATATTGTACTTAGTATATGCATTCCATGTGTACTTATATTGTACTTATCCTTCCCATTCATTTACATACGAATAAAGCGACCGCAAGCCATTTGCTTATTCTTAAGATGATGTCATGTTATTTTGTAACGAGGTGTAAAGTATGGTATAGAAAGAACAAATATGTATTTTGAGCACTATGTATTCTTTGTTGCAAGGCATTGGAATTTAAAAAAGGTTTAATTTTAGAGTCTACGGAGCACAATGGATATCTTGAGTACTAATTGAGAGTATTTGTGTAGCCATAAAAACTTTTATATGTGCGCCATGATTAAATAAATATTACATTCTTCGAATATATTTGCTATTAAATATTCCACTATTCAGTAACTAACTGTAAGTTTATAAGGTCATTATGAACACTCCTCTATTATTAAATGAAATACCAAACAAAAATCTTTTGATTTGGAATCTTTTCAAATCATCACCTTACCTCAGTATTGAAGTGTGGGAATCGCATGTTTCAGAATTTGACATATTGAACTCTGAAGTCTCAATAAATTAGGATGAGGATTTCTCCCTAAAATATCTTGTTTTAAAAAATATCTTCCTTAAAGATATGTTGGGATTTGCCCTTAAAAGTATGTTAACTCTTGATTTGGATTTCATTAAACAAATGTTATATTAAAATGTATGATTTTGCCTTCAGATTTCAGGATATCTATTCAGTAAAAGATTCAAAATCAAATTGTCTAACTTTTTCAAATTCAATTGTATTTTGCGAAAGCAAATGCAGGTATCGGAAATGATGTCAATTAATTTTTTTCCAGCCTTAAAAACAGTTTTTTCTTTACACTGTACATATCATTCAAATAAGAATTCAAACATAAGGAGCCTTAAACACTCCGGTTGCCAAACTTTTGGAGGGGATGTAAATTGTATGTACAAAGGTGGTCAAATAAAACGGCAACCCTGTCGCTATACTCCCTGATATTTGGTACATGTGTACATCATTCAATCTCCCACCAGCCTACAATATTTCATGACCAGGTTGATAGTTTACAGCACTTTAAACAACATGCTCCAAAGTTCAATATTGTGCTTTTGGCAAACCTGCATCCATCGTCCAAAATGATCTTGCCTGACTTCTACCTGTGGGATATGCCAAAGGTAAAGTGTACAGAAAGGACCTCGGGACAATTACAGACCTCAAAAATTTTCATTCAGGCCATACCTACTGATGATTGCAGTTGGATCATAGACAACGTGTGCAGGTTTACCTAAGCGCGATGATGGCCAAACCTGGGGCATGTTGTTTAAAGTGCTGTAGCATTGTGATCAATCATGAAATATGGTAGGCTAATAGGAAATTGAATGTATAAGTGTGTAAAATATCAGGTAGTAATTCTTTAAAATGACAAAGATATGAGGAAAATACAGGGTTGCCATTTTTTGACCACCCTGTATGAAAAATACCGAAATGGTTTCATGTGAGGAACCCCAATGAAAGGGAGATTTGTGGATAACATAAAACATAGAACCCCTGGTCACCGAATCCTGGCTACGCCACTGATACAGTGGTTTTTATTAAAACAATATGTTTTCTTGAAGTCCCCATGATAGTAAAATATAAAATATCAATCCAAGTCTCTGAGAAATTATGGATTAGGACCCAACCTTGTCACTTTTTTAAAAATGTAGTGCTTATTTTCTAAAAAGAGGATCTTGTTTTTCTCAATTTAAATGTATCAAACCATTCTTCTTCACTATATTGATAACTTCTGAAAAGGGGAGGGGTATTGAAATGCCATAAAGTTAAAAAACACATTTCCCATGCTATTTTCCCATAGGGAAAACTCATGCTATTCATTGTTTTCAGCATGGTTTTGGTCATCGAAAATTGATATCTTCAAAACTAGACTTTTAATACCATTCTACTTTTGAAGATGTTTTAGAACCCTTATCGAATAATGTTTTCATGCAATAAAAATCAGAAAAAGAAGATCCTCTTTTGAGCAAATAAGTTCAACATTTTGAAAAAATTGTTGACGTGGGGTCCCTATTTATAATTTTTCGAATTGTTTGATTGATATTTTTATCATCATGGGGACTTCACTTGAAAGGAAACATATTGTTTTAATAAAAACCAATGTATTTATGCCCAGAAAGTACTCACGTTGAAAGATATGACCGTCTAAAACCACTTGCCATACTGCACATGGACCTTTGAAAACCTTGGAAATTTTAAAGCATTGAATAAACGACAGGATTCTCTTTGGAGAAGTTTGACATTGTGTGTCAAATTGATCAATTTGTCTACACACTTTAATCAAAAAATTCTTAAATAATCTTAAATTTCGATTCACAAATTCAATTGTCTTCTATCACAGGGTGGTCCAGAAAATGTGGGACACTCATATTTCAAAGATAAATATTGATTTATTGATTAAAACATGTCATATTATACCAGTGGAAAGGCAATTTAATTAGCTTTAATTTGGTATATCATAAGTTTATATTTATTATAAAGGACCCACGGTCCTGTGCTCACACAGTATAGAACCTTCAGAGGAATGTATATCCTGATTTTCTAACAAAATTATTGATTTTGATTTGTAGTCTCAAACTTTGAGAAACTTAGATAGCACAGTTTGTGACCTAGTTTGAGGACCTTTGACCTTGAACATTTTACTTATTCAGAGCTCAGTAAGTCTTTTGTGATTAAGGTGACCAAAATTTACATCCAAATAATCAATTT